TACTACTACTACTACGGTGATGCTCGTGCTGTTGATTACGGCTTTCGTCAGGTAGTGTCTGTGTTCTTCCTCATCTCGGATGGTCACAGTCGTACAGCTCTCGTGGAGTTCCGAACGCCTATTGCAGCCACAGTCGCTATGAGACTCAATGGTAGTACTACTACCAGAAACAGTACTGATGGTGATGACAGATCGTGTTAGGTATCGACTTAGATGGTCGTAAATTAGCGATAACGAGGCCCCACGGCTACAACAAGGAGGACCCATCCAAGAGCATCACCGCTGAGGACATACAAAAGGTTACTATCGAGGAACTGTGTGGTAGTATAAAGGCCATAGATGACGGAGGCAATGATGGTGTATTCAGGAGGGTCCTCTACTAAGAAGACTGCTCCAGGGTCTAACCTACAATTAGGGATATACCATCTCCCACCGGTAATGCATCCACGATGACGTTTGCCTTGATTTCATCGTAGGTGATGACGGAGACCTATTTGAGGGACCTATTGGAACAGTTTGGTGCTCTCACTATGGTCAGCCTCATCAGAGATAAGACAACGGGCTTAAGCAAGGGCTATGGTTTCTGTCAATTCGAAGGTCATAACTCGCGTCTATTGTGGTGATCAGGTTGTTGTTTCCTCAGATCCGAATGATGCGGATAGATGCCTATATGCCCTTGACCAGTTCGTTTTGGGTAACTATAGCCTCAGTGTGACCAGACTCGTTCCAGATGCACAGCAAGGAGGAGTAGGCCTGCGGGGTTGAGAAGTTGTTTGATATTCCTCTGTCGTTAGGCTGCGGGGATAGGAGGCGCTGGTGTAGGCCCGGCGACCAACCTGGCTGATGGCTCATCGGGGGTAGCAGTCGTGAGGGCTTCCTAGAGAGAGTGCATTCATCGGAAAGCAGGTTCAGTCTATGACGGCTCGAGTGCTGGCCAACCCAGCTCTGGCGGCTCAGCTGAAGGCTGGGCGAGAGATAGGGTCGACTCCTAGCACAGTAGTACAACTTCTTAATGCTGTTTATATAGAGGACCTGATGTCGGAGACTGGTAATGATGCAGAGACACAGATTGGTTCGTTGTAATGCCCGTCCTCAGAGGTAAAGTCAATTGAAGATGAGATACGTGAGGAGGCCCAGAGGCACGGAACTGTGTTGGAGGTCCGAGTTCCACGGGTAAGAGAGTCAGCGTTAGCGTTGAGTAGTGAGGGCATGCGTACTGTTCCTCAGCCATCGGCGAGTCTAACACCATATGCCAATGGCGTTGGGAAGATCTTCGTGCAGTTTGCGGATATCACAGCAGCTAGGAAGTTTCAAGCTACGAACAATGGGAGGAAGTTTGACGATCGAGTCATGTGTGCAGCATTCTACCCAACTGACAGGTGATAGGATCGAACCTGCGCCTGCTACGGGAACTGTAACGACCTTCGTAGAGCGCCCGTATCAGGTATAAAATGGGTAAGTACACCCTGTACAACGTAGAGAGTATGACAATGGCAGTCAGACCAGTCCAGGCCCCACCACCTAAGCCTCCACCACCTACTGCTGGTATGTATCTTCTTATACAGTTCCCAGTATAGATGTCTTACTCGTAGGGTCGGGTCCGATGACCATTGGAGAGGAGGAGGAAGAGGAAGGTGGCAGTGAACACAAGACTGGAGCGGAGGCGGCGTCTGGTGGTAGGCTGTGATGCCGTTGCAACTTGGTGCAGTTTTGGCTTTGGGCAGGTGCTCTTGTGAAGGAGGGAGCCCCAGATAAGGTTGATAATAACGACGATTGTGAGGTTGTCGACTAACGTGATTGATACAGTTTCACTTTCCCCTCCACTAGAAGGTTTTTTGTGTTCTCTAGCTTCCCGACACACTGCTGCTGGAGCAAACATAGGCTGTCGTCTGGTCTTGCTGAGTACTGTTTTCATGTGTTGTGAGCATATCCTTCAGCGAGTATCAGGTGTGTGCTGCGCCCGTAGGATCTCCTAGTGGGGGCGTTGGATTGGAATAGCTCCTATTTTGACTCCGAGATCTAGGCGCCCTGTCCCTCTCCAGTTTGTGTTGTGATGATATTGTTTCCTACCTCCACTGCCTAGGCGTATAGGTTTTTTGTTATCCTTCCGTTTCAACAATGTTGAGTAATATTGCTCGCCGTGGTTTCGCCTCGACAACTGCAACTGCGAGACTCGCAGCCCTCAGGCAGCTCATCAATACCAAAGCGGTAGGGAACTGTGCCGTACTTGATCCCTTCATAACGTTGTTTTCTATTCAGCCTAATGATGGTGTTATTCGCGCTATGGAGGCGCACTCAGGCCTCTCCGCGATGATAGTTGAACAGACTCGAGCTCACAGGCCTGATGGTAGTAGTCCCACATTCGATGCTGGTTACTGATCTCTGGTGGTGTAGGTTCGGAGGCTAAGTTTGATTGCTTATGGTCCTCTTCACTGACCTCGAGTACGCTGAAGGGAATGCCTGATATCGAAACGGTTGATACCACCCAGAGACTGCAGATTGTCGAGGACTGTCTTGATGTATCATCGCTGCCTATGATCTACGATGGTGATACTGGTGGAGAGGCCGAGATTTTCCGCTTCACAGTGAAGAAGTTGGAGCGCCTTGGTGTTGGAGCTTGTGTGATTGAGGATAAGACTGGACTCAAGCAGAACTCCCTCTTTGGCACAGAGAGGTAGGCGGCATCGGAGGAGTTGTTACTAGTAGTCGTACTTGTTGTGTGATAGGAAGCAGCAACTGGCTGACGTTGATGAGTTCTGTGACAAGTTGGCCGCTGGTAAGGATGCTCAGGTCACCAACGACTTTATGATCTTCGCTAGAGTTGAGGCATTGATTGCTGGTCTAGGACAGGAAGAGGTACTATTCCTGCTGCTATCATCACAACAACGGTGGTCGTATTGGTCTATGGTTAGGCTATGCGCCGCGCCACAGCATACCTGGAGAAGGGAGGCTGTGATGGTATCATGATCCACTCTAGGCATAAGGATCCTCAGGAAATTTACGAGTTCCTTAAAGTAAGTGTAGTGATAAATGCGATATTTATCTATTACTCGAGTTAGGTATTCCGTGAGCAATATCCTGATAAAGTCAAGACGCCGATCATCCTAGTGCCTACTAGGTAGTAGGCTACTCGTGGTCTCCCCTTGTTACGCTGTGTCCTTCCTCAGCTACAACAGTGTACACGAGTCTGAGCTAGCCGAACATGGCGCGAATATTATTATTCATGCTAATCAGCTCATCAGGGCGGCTTATCCTGCCATGAAAAAAGTGGCAACTGAGATCCTGACAGCGTAAGATTAGCAGCAGTAGCGGTGGTGTCCGGCGGAGTCGACGGGTCCTTCATCCCTTCAGTGGCCGTTCCCAGGAGGTGGACGGCGAGATTATGCCCATAAAGCAGGTGATAAGCTTCATCGACGATAACACTGGTAATGGCTTTAAAATGAGTCACACTGCGTGATAGAGTAGCCGATGATTATTGGAGTTTCACCCGTTTTACGTGAAGTGGCGTAAAACTCCGTGAAAAACGCGATGTTTGCGCCTTGCAATAGTCGTGAAATATGTTTTTCACTAGTGTTCTTCATATCACGGGTGACACTCCGTCATAGTGTATCTCGTATTTCTAATCGCGGAGCGAGCTAATCTTCTTTTCAAACTGTGTGAGTGTGATAGTGAACCCATCGCATTCACAGTATCTTTTCTGTGGACACTACACCTGCGACTTGTGTTGCTGAAGTAGTGCTAGAGGGATCTTCCCTGAGTGCAGTGGTTGGGGATACTTGTCGTTGTCGATGTTCATCATCACTGTGGTGTCGGACACCATAGTCCTACCACCTGACGAGTTCGAGCCGGGCAAGCACATACCACATATACGGCGGCGAATACAGGAGAAGTAATACCTCCTGTCGGTTGAGCTGGTGGATGGAATGCTCGCCAGGTACGTGGACCGAGTTATACCAGACGTTGGACTGGTGGTGGCTCTATATGACGTCATCAGGATCACTGATGCTTACATCCATCCTGCTGACTTTCACCACCAAAAGGTATGCCATAAGACTGCCTAGTCCTCCCTTATGGTTGTGTGAGGTTAGGGAGGAGCCTTCTGCAAGGTGGCATTCCGCTTGTGTGTCTTCCGTCCAATGGTTGGGGAGACTATAGTGGGCACGGTGGATAGGTCCACAGCCACTGGGCTCTATGTCAAGCTGGGGTCATGGTTCAAGGATGTGCATATACCATATGCTGATCTGAAGTGATGATGGGGGTCTACGCTATCTCCCACGAGTTCTTTTAGGGATCCGTGCTTATATGATGAACAGACTAAGCTGTGGATATGGCAGTATAAGCGGGAGGATGCCACTGATAGTTTCTTTTACAGGCCGGGTAGTAGGATGGGTTGCTCGGAGTAGTTTGTAAGATGGTCGTCGTGGTAGGTGCGGAGATATGCTTCTCGGTAAAGGCAATAGTATTCAATCAACGACAGGAGAACAAGTCGACGTTAGCACAAGCTGTGGCTGAGAAGGATTCGAAGGGTAGTAAGGGTAGCTGAAGTGCTTACCAGCCGACGACCTCGCTCGGTTGTTGAGGCAGTTTAAAGATATAATACTGGGGAGAATCTTGAATGGTTGAAACTGGTTTAACGGGAATGTTGAGGATAGTAGTGGAATATAAAGGAGACTGTCATAGACTTACTGCTAGAGTAGTCTGGTGAAGTTAATCGCATTGGGTGCGGAGTGAACGATGCCCTTAGTGAATGATTGATGCTGCTGTGATGGTGGTTGGAAACATACACCTATAGAGCTACAAACAACAGTTTTGGCATCACGAAGATATATAGAGAAAACCCTCGACTCTTATTAGGATGCATTAGGACATTTGCTTCCCATCGACTCTCACATATGCACGAGGAGCAGTTGGATTGATTTTGGTGGTACGGTCTTGTACACGCGTGCAATGGATATGCTGGGTGGGGAGCATCCTCGATGCTCGTAGTAGTAACAATATTGATGTCTCGAGATCCTTATTCATCCGTGTGATAAGAGTGATGTCCTATCCTCAGGTCCTAGTGCACCCCTACCCCCGATGCAGGTATTAGGTAGTGTTGCCGGTGATGGTATGGGACTAACCAGCTGGTGGGCCGAGGATTGATGACAACTCTACAGCAACACACGTTTACTACGGCATACCATCTTGCGTTATGGTCGATCTACCACATCAGTTCTCCGACTTGTCCGATTTCTGATGACATCCGCTGCACCCACTCCTTCGCTGTCGGGCTCCAGGGAATACGCTCTCAATGCACAGCCAGACGATCTCACTCACATACAGACGGCCTCTTCTAGAGCTGATACTACTGACGGGCTCAACTGAGTCAGTTCAGATTAATCTCTGTTTTCTTGTAGTCTACAAGTTGTAGACCGTAACAATCGCTCAAGGCGGTGCCTCGGCCAACTCGATTGTCCGATGCGGAGATTTCGAGCGACATTCTCTTAAGAGTCGTGATTGTCTATGCCGCATGGAATCAGAGCTTCCTTCTTATCCTACGGTCTGTAGTGGGGCCTTTCGCCGCGGGTGAGTGCATCGGGCACCTCCTATCCGCCAGTCCTGGCATGAATCTATAGATGTTATGTAAATTGTACTGGAACGGGGCTGATCATTTACTTGTTACTCGCAGTTGATTTGATGAGCGACTTCTGGTCGATAGGCCGCGACTCGGCAAAATATCAGAGTGAACACAGTGGACCGAACTCGTGCTTCCAATGGGAAGTACAGACCCTCCTATCGCAACGATGCCATAACGAGGTTCGAATGCTAGTAGACTATTGATTGTCGACTTGATCTGTAGGTAGACGATTACTATGAGAATGAGAAGGACGATAACTACCGTAGAAGTATGATCCTGTGCTTTGGTATGGCAACACAGAAGTACCGAAGGTGCAAGGAGGAGTATCAAGCAGCGTCAACATCAATAGTGAGTGTCTTCGCCCCTCGAACCCTTTGAGTGGCTCTAACTGCATAACCCTTCGGATGGTATGCTAGCGGTTCCAGCCCAGTTGGAGCTAGATGACCGATATAATCTTTCTCCATTCCTCGACTGCCACTCAGAGTCAAGCCCGGGCGAACACACTAGAGAGCTGCCTATTGAAGCACTTCAAGCAAGCCATTACGTTGTTACTGAAAACTACAGAAGTGAATGGGAAGTGCATCCCGATTCAAAGGGCATGATTGTTTGTATTAAAAGTTTCCGTTTACTGCTAAGTTACTGGAGTTCAGCATGAAACGATCAAATGTTGGCTGATGTACGACTAGAGGTACGTAGTATAATCCGTCTCTGCTTTGAGATAGAATCTACCGATGCTCATGGGGGTTCTAAATTTCTTTGCGTAAGTACGATCATAGGCACGTCACTGTGGTGACTGTTCCTTACGAAAAGCAGATCCGCACGTGAAGCGTGATACATCAGTGGTGTTCCAGCGGTATCATCACAAATTGCGACAATCAACATTCGCGATCCATCCACTCGTTTCTTATTCACCGATTTTCAACCGGGAGAGCATACTATTTTCCTTCCACTCGAACCCATACGAGGCCATTCACTTGACAACACAACAAGTGACTATGTTTATGCACTAATCAGAACACAATAGAAAGAGCACTTGCCGTTCTATACAGAAGGACGACTAAATATATGTTCTATCGGCTACACGTGAAAAAACTAATCGAAGTAGAATTATCATCCACCACACTTTGTGTGACAAGTAGTAATTTGTGATTCTATTCTGGCCTCAACCTCTGTCAGTCAGTCAGTCAGCTGCAGCTAGACCACTCCTGACGATCTGCGAGCAGTGATTATCCGCTTCGAAGCGATAGCGGAACTGCCACAGCGCTGAGGGCAGGGAACTCTTCGTCGTCTCCAGAGTCAGCTTTAGCGGCAGCTTTTTGCTGATTCCCTGAATAAAGTCAGATCGCAACAACCAATGATATTCCGATCACTCACGTTTTCCTGTTCTTTTATCGTTGTTTGATGGTTTGAACCCGGCCTGCGCCTTGAGGACCCGCGGACCAGGTTGGGCAGATTCAATCGCCTGAACGTCGCATAACCTCAATTCTTTTCGAATGTACCAAATTAGTTGACTCTACCGGTGCTTCTGAACTGCCCTGTTCTTCAACCTTCTTGGTGAAGTCAACTCGCTCTCCCGCCGAAATGGCTTTGACCATCTCCTCAGCTCGGGAAATCGATTCCAGTTGTCCACTTATCCGACACTTGGACACACCCTCTTCCGCGTGCTCAAAATCGATCGAGGAAACGCCAGAGACCGCCTTGATACGCTGTATCTGAGCAAAAATCCCGATAGTGTCAACGAACTCGCCTATGCACGGGCGTACCGTCCTGCCCTTGGCTCCAATCACCAACCTAACGGTGTCTTCAGGAATGGTGAACTCGATCGTCTCCGTCGAGCTCGTGGCATCTTTCAAGTCGTTAACGAGTTGGCCGAGCATCTACAGCCACACAGAGCATACAGTCCGAATGAGCCTCCTAGACAGTCCTTACCCTCTTAGCCTGAACGACATCAGCCTTAGAGCCGACGAGTCGGATATCCCTACGCATACCGTTCTGACCGCGGGAAACCGGCGATCGACCGCTTCCTTTACCACTGCCTCCCAACAGAGTGAGGTTGGTGCCCGTCTCTTTCCCAATCTGGTTCAGCCGTGCTGCCCGATCTCTCATCAGTGTGCCGATAACGGCATCAACAAGTTTACCATCACCACTACATGCCCCAAGCACAGCAAATGTCTCGGTAACCTCAGCATCAGTAACCACCTTGGGTATGTCCTTCTTGGCGTTAGCAACAGCTTCAGGGGTACCAACTAGCTCCAGTGTCGGGCCAGAGTTCCCCTTCCCAGCCCCTTTGCCACCACGTTGGAAAAAGGCTCGAGTGAGGTGGTTCTTCAACCGCAATAGCTCGACATTTGCAGGCCGCATCCAAACGCTGACGTGGTCACTCGGAACCGGTATAGTCTCGAAGGTCATGGCCGCCTCCTCAACCAACTTGCGCAACTCCTTGCCAGCCTGATCCGCTTCCTCCTGTGTTTGTGACATAACGGTTATCTTCTTTCCATCCGCCTCCTTCACAAAACGACAGCCGCCCCGATACTCTCGTTTGATAACAGACAGACGGGGCGCCAATAGCCCATTGGCTGCGAACAGCTTCTCTCGTTGCTCATCTGTCTTCACCGGTACCTCCACTCGAGCCACCTCCTTAATGGCGTCGTTCAAGGCCTTGCAAGCCTCATTAACCTTAGCCTCGGTCGGACCCCTCACCGTGACCGTAGCATGCTGGTCATTGAACCTTGCCTGTATAGAGCACCCACTCTGGGACTGTATCTTCCTCAGACCCATCGCACCATCGCCCATCACGCATCGTAGCGTCTCCGTGTCGGCCGTGACCACCCTAGTAACCGAATTCTGAGCTCTGTCGGCAGCAGCCCGCATAGCCGCCTTAATATCATCTCCTGCCTGCTTGACCGCAGTCCCATTGACAGGACCGTGGACGGCTATGTCCGCGTTACCAAAGGTGATGAAGAGAGACTGCTCAGAGGCCTCCAGCTTCCGAACCACATCGCCAGCGCGTCTACGGGCACCAGGGACGTCATTAGGGATGGGCACGCGTACGACATTGTTGACGTCGATGTGCTTCAACTGCTGCACCGCACTAGTCAGAGACTCCTCCGAATTGGCAGAGACACGAACCCCACGCACCAAACCCGTCTCGCCATAGAGAGGCTCGAGAAGGGCCGTAGTGAACCTCTCCAGACGAGGCAAGATCGAAGGCTGGCCTTCGGGAGGGAAGAGCAAGCCGATCAAACGAGCCTGACAACGAGCAGCTGCGAAGGTGAAGACCAGTGCGTACGACAAGAACCCACCTGAACGCCATCCTCAAATCCTGTGGATATCATCGGCAGCTCCGCCTCATGCAGATGAGTAACCTCTTGACGGAGCATCTTGCCGAGCCTCGCAGCCCGTCGACTCTCGATAGCCTCCTCCCTCTGTTGCCTCTTCTTCTCTCTCTGCTCCTCTTGCCCTTCACTAAGCTCCTTCTTCACCAACACCATACGATGCTGTAAATTCTTAAACATCTCGTGAGCCGCCGTCGGGATGAGCTCCTCCTCAGCCGATTCCAACATGCCAGTGACCTCGTCCGAGGGCGGCAGCTGAGACAGCTCATAGATCTGCTGCCGCAGACGCATCGTAGTCTGCCTCTTATCCTTCGGCTTGGGAGGCAGTTCAGCACGTATCTCCTCCACCTGCTTGTCAAGCGAGTTAACAAGTGACTGGAACTCTGCCCATTCGAGATCTCGCAATTTGTTCTTCGTGGTAGCGCTGATGATAGCGTCCATCTTAGCCTTCGACGGGTAGTCAGGAACGGGAGGGAAGAGCGATGGGTCCTAACAGCAACAAGGGATCCTCTACTAAGAAGCTCCATAGATCGAGCTGTCCTTACCGCCTTGATGGACCTAGGTTGATCCTGCTCAGCTTCTGCCTTCCTCTGGAGCCTCTTCTTCCTCTTCAGCTGGCTCTTGGTAAGCTCCACGGGTTCAGGTTCCTCGAGCTCTTCTTGGACCACCTATACACCAATACGTCACTACCATTCAGCTTGGTTCACAACTCTCACCTCCTTATGAGCTCTACGGCGCCTCCTACGTCGACGAGCCGCGTTGCTCATAGCAGGCTGGGGGGACTCGATAGGGTCCATCGGGGACTTGGGCTCGAGCGGGGAGTCGGCTCCCACTGTGGTCGGAACCGGGGACATCGCTACTGCAGCCGGTGGTTCCTTGGCCAGGATGGAACCAGTGGACACTGGCTTAACACCAGTAGTAGAAGCTGTGGCAGATGATTTGTTATTTCTCCTCCTGTAAGGCATGCTTATAAAAAAGGGAAAACAGACACTAGGAGAGCCGGTCCATAGAAAGAGCGAGCCCCTCGAGCAATAGAGAGAGCAACTCGAGAGTGGACGACGCAGATCTGACGATAAACACTGTCGTACAGCTTCAGCATGCAGTAGTGCGAGGATGGCAACAAGCCCGGGAGGGGGAAGTCAAATAAAAAACTCAACCGGCTGGAACCCGGTTGGGTTCACAAGCGCCTTCCCCCTTTAAGATGGTGCGACCACGTCTCTTCCTTCTTCTGTCCACATAGCGTTAATCAGCCTCCGATAAGCTCTCTCGAGACGAACACGCTAGACTCGCCTGCACTGCTGGGGGCATCACATAGTGCATAGGCCGTGTAGGAACATCAAGAGACCCTTAAACCGCACTGGAAAGGAAATCCATATCGGCAGGTTCACACTCATATGCCGAACACCATCCCCAATAGAGGACTGAGCTTTCATACACCAGTCGCCATGGGCTGTCTCGATGGGGGTCGCTGAAGGGAAGTTACTCGAAGGGTCTCTGAAACATGAAGGATAACAAAACACCGTACCGATAGAGAGCGATCACCTACATGTGAATGTTAAACAGTGTGAAGACCTTCTTTCCAAATACCGCTTTCTTACCTCGATATCGCCTCTGGATATCACCTCTTTAGTGTTGAACCAGGCCTCTTACATTCATCACGATGAAGTGGACTCCTCGTCATCAGAGCGGCCACTGGAAGCTGTGTTCGAGCGAATGGTCATAATACAAGACTAAAGGACCTAGAGGGAGAAGTCTCCAGTGCTCCTAACCCGACAAGAAATGTATCAAAATGATAGCTTATATCAGGGGTGTTTGTCATCTACTCGACACTATGGAGGAGTGATCATAGTTCATATAGCTCCAATGGTTGAAAAAAGCAGCACACTCTAAGGGTGGACTATACAGCCCATTCTAGATAGGGTTTATGATAATCTTGAAATAAGGGGTGTTTAGATGCCAGTCAGCTGTCGCTGCTCGTGGCTTCTTCTCCTTGACTGCCTATCACCAGCATCTTCGATGCCGCTATAATGAGCACCACCCAAGGCAGGCATCCCAGGTGCTCCATGAGGAGGCAGGTGAGGCACGGCATCCTCTTGCCAACGTTGGTCGAACTCGGCAGCGTTCTCTTCAGTGAGCCCACCCTTGAGCATGTCTTGGGTGTTTTGGTCACCAGTGTTGCGGTTACGGCTACGGACGACTCTGCGGCCTGCAAGTAGACGATCGAGATCAATTACTAAGCTGACCTTCCCACTGACCTTGTTCGCCCATGGTCCTCTCCAAGGCCATCTTATCAATACCAGTACCCGAGTTGGCATACAACTCCTGCTGCTCTCGTAGCTTCCTATCGGCATCTCCCACAGTCGAGCTTTGATACTGCTCCGTGACGGTCTTGCCATCGGGGCCACGACGACTAGAGGACACATAGACCTGGCAAATGCAATATACCTCAAGTCCCAATTGGCTCCCTACCTGACTCGAGTACTGCCCTTGTTGTGGATGCTGACCTGTAGGGAGCATTCCTCCGATGAGGTCATCACCGGCGGCGGCTTGAGTGGCAAGAGACATGTCTCTTTCTATTCCCTCCATCATGTTGTCCATTGCCTGATAAGGTGTTGGCAACACTACCAATAGCGAGGATAGTACCTGTTCGTGTTCGCGGAACATCCTATCAATCGTGCCGACACCGAAGGGATCAACCTGCTCAGCCCGAGCCAGCTGCTGCCTATCGGCTTTGTGGTTATCATCATCACGACGACGAGAGGGTCTGTTAGACATTGTTTTGCTGCTTCTAATGGAAATCTGAGGTAGACATCGATACGAAACAAATCAACAGGCGAACTCAAGGGCCACATTGAGCACGTGTAGAAAACCAAGGTACACCAAACACATAAAAGCATGAATGGCTGATAAACCACAACAGAGGTACCATGTGTTGCGAGCCGCGCAGCCGGAGAATCAACTGTCCTTGGCAGACTCGGCATCTCCACTACCAAATGCATAGCAGCATCATCGCTTCTGCATCGCTCCAACAAACCTAAGAGGAAGACCTACCTCCACACAACGCCATGGCGCACTCAAACCAAATGGGATCCAACAACACAGAGAAGACATAGTGTGCTACACACGAGCTACACCTCATGGTAAACTGTACAAGGATTCCACACAAACACGACGCCACCAAACAAACACTAAGGAGGTACAAGTGGCAGACGACTGAGGCATACAGTGTAAAGCAAACCCACCTCGTGTTGAAGATCGGACGATAGTCGCTGCAGGCATTACATGCTGTCTTGAGAACTCTAGCAACAGAAGAGCACAACGTGAACGCAGAGACATCTTGGACACTTGAGAGATTCCTCAACGCCCGTCGTCGACGGACGCTATGACAACACGGAAGTTGTTGAAGGAGAAACGGATAGAACGATTCGAGTGTATAAAAGCCTCACAAGCGATAGCAATCCAGTAAGAAGAAGCACAGTGATAATCAATGGTCTTCTACTTAGAAGCATTTCCTATGGACGATAGTTGGTCCAACCTCATCATACTCTTCCTTGGATATCCACATCTGTTGGAAGGTCGATAAAGACGCTAATGTGGAGCCTCCGATCCACACTGAATACTTCCGTTCAGGAGGAGCCACAACCTTGATCTTCATAGTAGAAGGAGCAAGAGCTGTCAACTCCTTGCCCATCCTCTCACGGATGCCACTAAACATAGTAGTACCACCAGAGAGGACCACATTGGCGTAAAGATCCTTACGAATATCCAAGTCGCACTTCATGATGGAGTTGAATAACGTCTCGTGAATACCGCAAGCCTCCTTACCCATCAAGTCAGGTTGGAAGAGGACCTCTGGGCATCGGAAGCGCTCGTTGCCGAGGGTGATTATGTTACCATCAGGCAACTCATAGGTCTTCTCGAGCTCACTACTGTTGCTAGCTGACTTCATCTCCTCGTCGTAGTCAAGCGCCACATAGCACAGCTTCTCCTTGATATCGCGAACAATCTCCCGCTCGGCTGAAGTGGTGAAGGTGTAGCCACGACCAGTGAGGATGGTCATCATGTACTCGGTCAAGTCCCTACCGGCCAAGTCCATCCTTTTGATAGCATGAGGCATAGCATAACCCTCGTATATAGGCACCGTGTGAGTGACTCCATCACCAGAATCGAGGACGATACCAGTGGTTCGGCCAGAGGCGTACAGAGACAAGACTGCTTGGATCTGGACGTGGACACCAGGGACGTTGAAGACCTCGAACATGATCTGTACCATACGCTCCCTGTTAGCCTTAGGATTCAGGGGCGCCTCTGTGAGGAGCACCTAACAATCAGTGAATAACACGAAACTAACAGTAGCTTGAGTAACAGCTTACTGGGTGATCCTCAGGTTGAACTCGGAGCTCGTTGTAGAAGGTATGATGCCATATTTTCTCCATGTCGTCCCAGTTAGTGACAATTCCATGCTCGATAGGATACTTCAGAGTTAGAACTCCTCTCTTGGACTGAGCCTCGTCACCAACATACCATTCCCTCTGGTCCATTCCGACCATGATACCAGGCCTAAGAAAGAGACGCTAACAAAAGATCATAACAATCAACGATGAAGACTTCCTTACATCTTAGGTCTGCCAACGATGGATGGGAAGATGGCACGAGGGGCGTCATCACCTGCGAAACCCGCCTTGCAAAGGCCGCTGCCGTTATCAATCACAACAGCAGGTGTATCCTCAGGGGACTCAGTATCAGACATAATGCTCAAATAAGACAGAAAAACTACTAGCGATGGTCAGTGCCTGTACGAGCCAGCAGAAGGGCTCCATCTGACACAAAGGCTTTGACTAGTACTGTTAGGCTAACAGTGTTGATATACATAGTGGAGATATCATATTATCCCTATCAAAATACAGAACACGCTATGACACGTCTCAAGCTCTAATCAAGTAACTCGACGAGCCTCTTCCGCAATCAAAAATACCATAAGGTTGTTCAAAAGAAGCAATAGAGCTTCACTGTAGCTGTATGAGAGAACAGCCTTCAGCTGCATACATAGTAGAGCTCAGGTGAGTAGAAGTCTCAGTGCAACCTATCCATCAGAAACCATCAATTCTGGAAAGCTATTTCGGCGACTTCAAAACCATCACCACGGCACGGCACAATAAAGAATGCCGTTGAGATCTTATAAGTAAGCAAGATTTCTTGCTTGTAAGTGCTCATACCACTACTCACTGCATCAAATTCAGTCGTCTATTAAAGCGTCCTGCTTCACACCATGGCCGGTATAGCTCAGGGTCGTCACACAAGGGCTGTTCCCTGCCCTAGCTGCGGACAGCAATTCTTCCCACAAAGCCTTCGATTTCATCTCAAGTCGTGCCTTGTGAAGCAACAGCACATCGAGCTGCCGTGTCCTTTCTGTGACACCCCATTGAAGCGGTCGGAGCTAGAAAGACATAAAATGAACTGTAAAAAGAGGACGGCTGGGCCTAGGAAGAGTCTCAGCATGGCTTCCCTTACGATGACCTCTCCCAATGGTCGCACACTTTGTGCAATTTGCCAACGACCGTTTTCTAGTGATAGAATAGCGCGACACCAGGGGATTTGTCGGCAACAGTTTGAGAAGTCTGAACGTCGGAAGTCACAGCTATCGACACCACAGCAGAAGGTGGTGACACGGCAACACATGAGCGCTGAAATTGGCAAAGGAGCGGTAACGGGCTCATGGCGTCAGAAGCGAGATGCTCAGAAGGAAGCATTCGAACGTACCAAAAGGCAGCAGCGGAGCCAGTTACAGAAGTCTACGGATGGGACTCCGAAACATGAAATAGTAGGCATAGACCTGGAAGATGAGGACGAGCCCGATCAATCACCTGGAATTGGCAGGAGCGAGTCTTCACGATGTTCTACGGATGACACTGCGGTGATTTTCACGTCCTTACGGAGCAACTCCGGTGTACGAGAGAGCACTTCCACGGATAGTCTGCGTGCGGACGACGTGTTTGCGAAGGGGAAGTGGGCTTGCTTCTCCTCCTCCTCGGGTGACTTTAAAGATGGCGTCGAGGAAAATCATATCATCAGCGAACGGTCTGATAGCTCGCATTCAGACTCGGACGAGTCGGCTAGTGATGGCTCCCTTGATAGATCCAGCTGCACTGATGTGGGATCAATCCATAATGACGGCTCTGAACGGCTAATGACATCGCCGCCGAGGCGGTCCCCACCATCCGCGAGCAGCTCTGCCGTAGTCAGTAGTAGAATGGACAGTGCGAGGAGTGATGCTCTCTCGAGCCTACGAGAGATCGGAAGAACTACTGATGACACTGCCAATCCTAGTGCATGTGATATCATACCTTCTGGAACAGCTCTACTTGCTATGAAGATATCGTCTTCTTCTGGTGTCGCATCCTGGAGAGAGAGCTCTTGGTAGGTGTAGGGCGACAGTCCCTGGACATTGGAATAGAGGAGTTTTTATCCATCTTCAGGAGTGAAGGATGTGAAGGAGCTCAATCGAAGGTCGGAATGAAGGACGTCCGTGAGGTCGACCAGACCGAGACCTCGAGTGCACATAGGTAGGCGGCGCCTGAGTTCAACTCTGCAGGGTAAAGCCATGATATCATATCACATACGAAGCGTCACTAAGATGCCCATGCAATTCTCACGGAATCCATCCGTGGATCTGAATAATGCTGTCAGGCACCCTGTTGAGTCAGAAGAGAGGCCCCAGTCGCCCACAAGCGATATCGAGCTTCCGATCCAGCGCAATTTTCGCGGCTGGTTGGTTGGGGAAGATTCGGCTCTTCAAGATGCGCTCGATCGGGCTAGCGTCGCCCTGGCTAAGGCACGCAGGGTCAGACCTGGTCAAGAGAGTTCGACGTCCAGCACATCGAGCCCTCGTAGTGAAGACGCGCGCTGCCCCCGTTGGTATGTACGCAACGGCCAGGGAGCCACCTGCGTGGGAGTTGGTGGTGCATGGAGAATCACGGTCCTCCCCGAAGGATGGACCAACAGTTGTCCATTATCATCATCATTACCATCATCACTACTCCAATGGGCTCCCTGGAGATGCCAGAATAGGAGAGGCAGAAAAAAAGGCAATGGATGACGCTATGAAGGTGAGGGAGACGCCTTTCCCGAGCCCTCTGTCGTTCATGACATGAACTTCATGTCTCGAATGCTTCACTTCTCTTCAGATGTTGAAATCGAGCAAGTCCGGTACCGCGCAAGATGATCCTACTGCAGTGCATCATCACGTTAGCCATCGCCATATTCATCATGATCATCAGCCTGTTGTTCTCCAGCATCCAATCGGGCACCGAGGGATCATTGGAGCTCAGCAGTGAGCTGTTTAGATCACGACTCCACCTAGAGGAGTGTTTTTCGATGTTCAGATATCTGTTCAGACCATCAACAGCAGATCATCCGCAGCGACTGAGACCCGCTTCGTCTCCTTCTTTCCGGTCGTCGTGGTACAGGAGAACCTTGGCTTGCCCACAACCACCGAAGACGACTCGCCAATTTGGTGCGTGAGCTATCCGTTTGCTCGCTGTCTACGTTTACGATTGTCTATGACTCTCTCTGTGCGGACGTTGTTAGATCATGGATATCATGCAGTATTAACTATTAGCATAAAGTGAGCTTGTGTTGGAGATCATAAGGGACATTGTGTGTTGCAGAGCAATCAAGGTGTTAGATGATGATCAGATTCATACCGTCTGTTGCGCTTTGGTGACCACCAACTCCTTGACAATGACGATTCTTGAAGTTTAAACCTAGGCTTGTATCCTCGGGGCGCCCGAACGACCAAGTCATACGCAACTGACTCGGATTCCGAGGCTCGGAAGTTTTCGGGAAGGATCGTTTCCCCACGATAATCTCTCAACTTGGCCTCCGGGAGTTCCGGACCTTAGATGGTCGCGGATAGTGACAATTTGTGTCCATCTGTACCTCCGATATAGAATAGGGGTGAGAGTAGACGGTTGGGGAATCATGAATAGCAGCTTATAGGCCCTCCTTCTCGGAGACAGATGCTCGTGCTCCAACATAGAAAGTTAGAAAGAAAGTGTGCCAGGAGCATTGGATTGATGTTCAAAATAGGTCTCGCCTCTTCATGAACAGATGGATGCTTTGTAGTTTGACAATTTAATATAATGGGTTCGGAGTCTATCGTATCAATAGAAGCAGTGGCTCCTCTCGTGTTCATCATCGCATTGTTATGTACCCCTCCCGGTATGGGAGGAGGCACCCTCTTCGTACCCGTTCTTCATATCATAGGTATGTTATCTGCTAGGGATGCCGCAGCCACTAGTCAGGTTTTAGTGGCTTCTGCGACTCTTGCGAAAGTAAGCGCTCATGCATTGGGTAGATGGTGATAACAGTGGCTCTCTCCAGGTTCTATCGTCCGTTTATATACAATTGCATGGGAACAGTTCTGTTGAGTCTATTATTAATCTGCCGTATGCAGTATTAATGCTACCTCCTATGGTGGTCGGTGGTTTGCTTGGGGTCTATCTCTACACGTGGCTTCCTGAAATATTCCAATTAGTGCTCTATGTATTCACTGCTATTCTCGCATCATGTATGGGCTTCAAGAAGGGCATAGGCTTGTGGAAATCCGAGACAGAAGGGGCGTCTAGTGCTGGCCAACTAGGCGTGGTGCCACCGCCCTGCGTAACTGAAGATACAGTGCTACCGTCCGTGACATCAAGAGCTCGGTCCATCTCGCTTTCACTGAAATATAAGAAGGCTATTCTCATCACTACTCTGTTGGCTGTGTGGATAGCAGTTATCCTCTCACGCCTGTTATTGGGCTCGTCATCTACGCCAAGTACGTCACATTCTTTTTCATCTGCTCGTCTCTCCAAGTCTTTTCATCGTGTATTGAGGCGCGCATTTTCGCTGCGTAACGGACCGCCAGATGTCACCATGACGACTACTGCGGAGAATTAAGCGCATATGTTGTAGTATATAGCTGACGCGGATTGAATTTGATCTGGTGTATATCGTAGGGAAGTGTCCATCCAACCATCTCCATTACGATAGTCTTCAGATAATATCCCATTTCAGGTATCATTGGCATCCCTTACTGCACCGGTCTCTACTGGGCTCTCTCCGTCATCGTGTGCATAATGCTGATGGCTGTGCCCGGTTTATTTGTCGTAGCTATCAAGTCGGCAGCCATGTTGAAATTGGCTGTGAAGCTCTCAGGAGCTATGCTCTGTAATGCAACAGCCAAGAGCTCTGCACTTGTCCTTGGAAATATCATAGGTATCGGTTTTATAGCAGCCTTGGTTGGCCAGGGTGGTGGGAGTTTGATAACGCCGTTGCTTCTTTACATGGAGCTAAACCCTCAACAAGCTGCAGCGACAGGCTCTGTCGTTATGCTCATCACAAGCTCTAGTAAGTGGAGTGTAGAAATTTCCTTGCGAAGGATGGATGCATGTCAGGTTTGGCGTTGTCTTTTGGCCTCGGGGGCTTCCTGCCCGCTGCCTCTGATATGTGGATCGCAGTTCTGCCGTTTTTCGGGGCCTTACTCGGCGACTTGCTCCTATCTAGATTGCTCTTATGGAGCCGCAGACTGAGTTTCCTCGCTCTCCTTTTGGCCGCTTTAGCCATGACAGGCGCAATGGTGATCTTCACAACGGGGATAGTGAATGTCATCTCGCAGTATAGACGCGGAGAGAGCCCGCTCAGTTTCGGTACTTTATGCTAAGTTACCCTTCATTGACTATTATATACCAAAACAGGGCCTCAGTCTGATGATTGTTTTTATATCACTTTTCGTGAGGTCTATTGCCTGTTGTCTAGTGATATCTTTATCCATCTGCTGATACACCGAACATCAACTTCAAGACATCAGTTCGCTCTGTCTTTTCATTCACTAGCAATGGATACAGCATGTTGCGTTGTACGTCACTAGAAGATCCGGTATATAGATCTGATATGAGAAGATCTGCTATGAATATATACCAGTTGGGTGGAAAGAAACGCATCGCAACTCCCCCGTTCCTTGTATCGACTTGAGGGAGTCATTCATGAATCCACCAAACTGGAGCGGTATTATCAACGATGAAACTCGACAGTGACCGAGCAGGTCTGCTCCACATACAATACGTTTATAGCGATCAGTTTTGAGTAGGATGACCAAATAGTTTTGGTAGTCAGCGATTAGGAAAAGACATGGTATGCATGCATTGGGTTGAGTGATGAGATATACTTGCTCGTCCGTGCATAATGTCCGTTGATTTCCCGTGAGACTTTTCTCCTCTTTGTCAATCTATTCAGACCTGCCTGACAGACATCCAACCGCAAGGTGAACACTATAATGGTGACACTCACCCCCAGGGATCCATGCAGCTTTGTGATTAACGTTCCCTAGAGTTTCGTAACAACGGCGAAATGTTCCTAATGTGATTGTATTCACATTGAAGGATGTGTTCCTAGCCATCCGTGGAAAAATCAAAATGAGTTCCCTCGGGAACATTATAGGCTCCTGGATGATCCCCTGCTCACCCCCTCGATAGAGTCAGTGCTCTCGCAAGGGCGATAATTTGCCAAGATAAGAACGCTCCATGAGCAGAGGACGTTTAACAGTGAGACAGTGTTTAATGCCAAAGCTTTGTCAAAAAACGTGTTAGCAAAGGTGTTATTCTGAGGCACAGAACCTACCCTAAACCTGCTAGTATATGTACGTGCTCATAGTGGAATAAAGCTATTCCATTTCAATTCCTCGCAGTCTACGCCCGAGTATCATCATGTTCATCTGGTCGGAGAAATATTTCTTTCTGCCTTAACAAGGATTGACTCTCTCTTGTGTCGAGAATCTAGTGCATCAGTGCTCCTGCTATCATGATTTTGGCGCAGGCCTCATCTACGGCCGAAGATGAGTTTTGAAACACACATAAGCCATCATTTATCATCTAGGGGAATCATCAAGGCTGGCTGTAGGGAGGTGTATGAATTAGTAATATGGCGGCTCCTCCAATCGAGAACATGGGAGCAGTTGCTCCCCTCATATTCGTCATCGCACTCCTCTGCATGCCCTCGGGCATCGGTGGTGGCGTCTTATTCGTCCCGGTACTTCGACTCATCGGCAAAGTTCCTCTAAAGGAGGCAACCGCCTTGAGCCAGGCATTGATCGCCTCAGCTTCATTAGCTGCGGTAAGGGCGGACCTCCTGGCATCATCGTTAGGCCCATCCTCTCAGATTCTATTCAACTTCTTCGAGCAATACCGTGCGAGGAACGAGTCCAAGGCCCTCATAGTGTGGCCCTTTGTAATCCTCATCATTCCATGCACAGTCATCGGCTCGCTCATCGGCGTCTACATCTTTTCCTGGCTCCCATCACTGTTCATACTGATTTTATATTTCTGTTACGCGTGTCTGGGGAGCTTCATGGCCTGCAAGAAAGGCATCAAACTGTGGAAAGCAGAGACGCGGGCTAAAAGACAGATCCCTGTGGGGGACTCTACTGATTCGAGTAGATCCTCAGAAGTGGCTCAAGAAATCCCACCCCTTCTGGAGATGCCAAACAGGAAGAAGCTCATAGCGTACACAAGTATCGTCGCTTTGATATGGGCAGTGTGCCTCATTTTCCCTCCTCTCAAAGGGAACTCGGCCACGCAGAGTAGTATTCCGATAGACTGCGGCGCTTGGACGGTTGTTCCTATCGCTCAAAGTCCTATAGAACTTTCGAACTAGGGCTACAGGTTGCCTCTTCAGGTGTGGTTGGAATCCCATACTGTGAGGTAGCTTTTTGGGGGCTCGCGGCGCTGCAAGTGGTCATACTCCTTCTCATTCCTACTTGTTATGTGGCCGTAGAACGCTCCCCAGGCGCTGTCAAGATCGGCCTCGTCCTGATGACTAGCACTATCGGTAGGAGTCGAATTTAGTTCTAACAAGCTACTGTCAGGCCTTCTCCTATTCTCAAATTCAAGTATCGCATTCATTCCCCGAGCGCCTAAGTTCGCGAGGTCAGTATCCTTTCCTGTCAGTCATCGGCCTGCTCTCCTCCATCATTGGGACAGCTGGAGCACTTTTCATCATCCGAGTTGTCCTCTCCCTTGGCCTCGACCCCAAGCAGGCTACTGCCACTGCCACAGTTGTCATATTTGCCACGAGCAGCAGTAATTAGGAACCCTCTGATGCGAGCGCAAGCTTCACTAGTTCTCACTCAGGAACGGCTCTATCATTCGCATTGGGTGGTTACTTTCCTCCCGCTTCGAATTTGTGGATCGTCGTCTTACCATTCGCTGGTGCTCTATTGGGCAAGACCATAGTAGCAAAACTAATAGCAAAGACAGGACGCCTCAGTATACTTGTCCTACTGCTCGCAGCTATGGTGGCTATAGGCGGGATCATCACTATTTCTACTGGTATCATTTCTGCAGTAAACGATGCCCGTAACGGCGAAGACGTTGCTCAGTTCGGTAACTTCTGCTGATCGCCGCCCATCTTGTTCCTTCTAATCTTATTTCGTATATCATGTTGTGATCATTGTGGTAATCACATGAATCGCTCCTCGTAATTCCGCCGAGTTGCCCCGTGATCGAGCCTGACGCTTCTCAGTGACGCGCACTGGTTCTCTAGCAGGGATTTTATCGACTCGGCGACTCCGGACTGTATGTGTAGTTAATATGTATTCAGCATTCCCTCTAACATAGGGAGTTGAGATCACTGATTTGTTTGGACAGAGGTCCGTTGCTATAGCCTATCACCCCTCGTCCGTTGTACTGCTCTGCGAAAGAGTTCCTCGTAGTTCTTTAGTAAATTTCGAGGCATTTGTATTTCGTTTGAGTCATGGAAGATTGACACTGTTGCACTGCCTAACCGTTGAAGAATTGGAATGCCAGTACTGACTGCTGGAATTGCAGTAGATCCCATATGCTGAACCGCAATGGAGTTCCATCTGTTTTATACGTGGAACAGTTTGCCGTGTTGCGCTTTCCCGAAAAACATGCTATGTTGTGTCCTAGTAATGTGTCTTCTAGTATTAGCTTCTGTCGCGAGATACGGATCAGATCACAGTTTGCCTACTCTGAAGCTCGCTAAGGTCTATTGCTGCTAGGCTACTTAAGCTGCTAAGGCGACGATGACACGATTCAGTCGTGTCATCGTCGCTCGACCGCTCGCGTCACGCCTCCTGTTTACCCTCACTTTGCAGCTATGGTAGAGCGGCTCTATTAGTGCCCCCTGGATCAATAAACGTGGGAATGGAGAAATCATTGTAAGATAGAATTTTGGATCAGAGGGTTCTGAGCAAGGAGAATTTGTTAAAGTGATACGAGCATGCCGTTGAAAAATAACAGATGTTTCTTCTTCGGTACGATGTTTTTTTCATGGGTTGCTGCTCATACAAGTGCACTTCGAGAGTCCTCCCAACAGTGGCAACATCATGGATTTGGTGACCCCCTCAGGAACACTACACAGTATATGTATGAAAACATTTCTACAGTTGATCGTTGGAAGCTTTCGGCACCGTTGAACGAGGAGGCAGAGTCTCTTCGGTGTCAATGCCAGCCCAGCCAGCTTCATGGAACACCACTTTTCTGGTATGGAGATGTCGTAGCCAAACTTGCTGTCGTCCCTGCAGAGATGCAAAGGCAATCATCATAAGCCGAAACAATACATTCCCTGAAGGGTCTATATGACGCCGGGGCTTCCCCACCCGAAACCACACAGAATTCAGCACGTCCAGCATCAGCGCCGACGAGGGAGGAGCATCTTACCCAGTCCGTTATGGGCTTGAGACACTTCGGTAGAGACTCCAGCGCTGCTCGACGAGCTTTATCTAGATCTTCCGCATTACGTGTAGCTTCAGTATAGTCCAGAATGCTGCGGACTAGACTACCCCCGGCCGGACCGGTCATCTTCGGATCATATCTAGACGTGGCTGGTGGAGGCTACTGGGCATGGGGAACTCACCCTCCTTCCGCGCAGCATATTACTTTACCGTGGTCGAGGCAGGAGGCCACATATGGATACAACCATCCATACCTGATGATAGTGGAACGTCTCGCCATTGTAGGAAGGTCTACTCACCAATCGGGTGACAAGCGACAGTCCATCCCCGGCCCCTGGAACTTGAATTGTGACTGTGAATGGTCGAGCGCATCGAAACCACATAGCAACAACTGAGCCACGACGAAGGTTCAAAAGTCTCCTTGCAGACCTGGACCCTACTAATATATCGGGCTTCCATTGCTCCAGGACCGGGCGAGTGATCTGGGTCACCACATCAGTGTATTCCCTATCACCATCGCCTTCTCGCATTTCGAAATTGAGGTTCATCCCACGGGCACCAGATGCTTGCCGACCTGTTTCCAATCTTCGAGAGATGTTATCGTTTATCACTCACCAAGGTCCGTATGGGCCCCCGTGCCCGGCATGATGATACCACCATCTCGGGATTTACCCCATCGATGGATTGACATGTGCAAGACGTCCGCATCTCGATAGAAAGCAGACTCGTTACCGTTACCATGATGGACCTAACGTGGCAGCCTTCAACAATCGGCCTCCTATCCAGATCGTCATCTTACGTCGACGTCTAGTATCGCAAATTTAATTCTACGGCCCTCGTGGACCGCCGCCGCTTGCGCCACCTTAATGGCGTATGCAACGGCGTTGACGAAACAGAAGCCCAGAGACAACTACGCAAAGGAAGGTCTCGACTATAACGGCGACGGGTATGGATCACCTCGTCACCAGGCTTGATGTTCATGGCAGAACCCATCAAGGGGGCGTTCTCGGACATGTCCGACTGAGCAATGTCGGAATCCACAGCATCATCATCCAGTTCTGAGCTCGCTAGGTTCATGCCGGGAATCACTATCACCGAGAAATAACATATCCTGTGGCCATACCAAAACTTGCCCGATTCATCCACAGAGTTCTCCACTAACGAGGCCACGAATGCTCTCATCTCATCAGCTTCCTGCGGCTTGATGAGCCCAGGAGCCTCCAGACAAGCTGGACAGTACCTCAGGACACCATCATGAACAACTGAGGGAAGCACGTCGACACCAATTGCTTACCAATTTCTAGACATGAACTCCGGCCTCTTTAGGATGGATTTCGGCAGAGGGTCGGGGAGGCAGTATACATGCCAACTCTTACTGCAGCCCTCCCGGTCACAATTGAGCATGTAATCGTTATCAGCTTGCTCTCGACACCCTTCACATCTGGCAACTTATATGTGACTGCCTCTCCCGCAACATCAGCGCCGTACATCCCAGCGATGGACACACCCTCTGCAGTTCTAGCACCCTTGTTCTGTGGCGAGTTCATGAACTTGATGGCGGGCGACTCGACGACGACGTTCAATTCGGGCATGTCCTGGTAGAAGCAGCGGCCCTATAGGAAAAGCTGTGAGAGACGGTCCTTACATCTTCGATGTGGATATCTTCCGATTTCACACGATATGGTACATGATGGCATGCCGGACGAGCCAGGACAAACGCTGTAGGGACACTACCAGAGAGGACCTAACTGAGTAGGGTCTTCAACTGGGGCTAACAGAAGGGCCTCACCGCCACAAGGGCATCCCGCATCATACCACAACGGAGGAGGGCGGCCTTTAGAGTATAGGGATCCATACAGCATTCCCCTGGCCATAATGTGAGTGCTCTTCCGACAAGTCTGGCGCAACGTTTAGAGCACAAATCTACGACCTGGGATGGATGGTGAGGAGAGGGAGATGAGCCTGTCGTCCTACAGGGAGCTCACTGTCGGCTATTTCCTCTAGAGGCTTGTCTTTGAGCTCCACTTGTTGTTGTAGATAATTATCAATAGAAACCAAATCATGGAGGTAGCGTTTAGAGTGTATGTTAGTAACGAGGACCTGTATAGGTGATAACACCTCGACGACGGTGCGTCTTGTCTACATCAGGGATGGTGACAGGACTGGACACACTGTCCGCCCATGCACAGGAGTCCCATAGAGATTCCTTACAGTCTGGCACGATATAACGTTTTCGAGTCTGCAACACTCGTTTGATACTGCGTACCCATCTGAAGTACCGCAAATGTTATTGTTGCTGATCGCACACCCGGGGCGAGCGCTACCTGCCGTGCTTGTCCTGAGCCCCACCATTATGTTTAATGAACAGTGGATTATACAACAACAAGGGTCTATCGATCGGCCCATCACTGACCAAGTCATACACGGACCTGAGCGGAGATGACATCAACTTTGATCAAGAACAGTTCTGTACTTGGCTGGGAGGTCGTCACGGTCCACCCATTGCCCAGCTCTAGGGACACGCTCAGTTGTCGAGAGCTTTCGCAGCACCTACACCACTGAGATAGAGCTCTACAGAGGCGATAGGGGCTACCCCACCTTAGGCCTCGCTATGGGAGGCGACCTCAACCGTCGTTTCCGTGCCGTACTAGAGTGTCCCTCTCCTGATTCTGATGATGAGCTTGATGACGGACTGAGTAACAACGGCACAGTCGTAAATCAGATCGTGTACGACAATGTCGCCACCTCGATGGGTATTCTCCAATTTTCCGATCAGCCAGCCGTCGGTCTTGCAGAGAGATATCCGGAGTTTGACTCCGGATGATGATGCGTCTCACAGCACTGACCGAGCAGTGCTCGCTTTCGCCGTCTTCATATCGGATGAAGAAACCCAGACGAGGGCCATACCTATAATGAGGTATACTGTAATCACCAGCGCGCCCACACTACCATCGGAGGATCTTCCCATACACGGGAGTACCACTAAAGGTCCTTTTAACGTAGCGACCGATAAGAGAACGTGGATCAGATGGGTCTGGCACTGCATCTTTCCAGAACTGGGGTTTCAGGACCCTGTGGGAGGCACGAGTGATGGTATATGGAAAGCAGCAGTGAGTTGGATTACTCGCTGGCAACTTTGTCTTCGTTCTTGAGACCGTCCACAAGCTGTAGATTGCGCTCACGTACAAGTACTCGCTTGTCAGGAGACCCTTGCAGACGTACTATCCACCTGACCAATTGAAGTAGTAGATGAGAGGGGCTCCAATCTATTGTCGGCCCCATGGGGTACTCGACTAGTAGTGTACCTTTCCTTGTCCATATGCCACTTATCCACTATACATTCTACGCCATTGAATCCGCTGTGTTTCACCAGACCAGTGATCCGCGCCTTGCATCCTTAGATAGACCCGACACCTCAGTACTAGCAATAGCGGCGGATCATACCTTGATGGATTTCCAAATCGCCCTCCATCGCCAACTCCGTTTGTGGACCAGCGAAGGGTTCCAAATTCCGAGAGTGCAGTCGAATACGTTGCGGTTCGGCTTCCGGGAGGCTACCTGATTTCGTGAGCTCAATAACGTCAGTGAGCATGGTATTATAGCACCTCGATGAGGATGCAGCTCCTTGAGAGTGAACACAACGAAGCCGTCTTCCTGCACCTACATCCCTACCGTACCATCGCTACATCGCATGGAGGACCTACCTCCTCAACGAGGCCAAGACGACCGTTCAGCCAGGTGTTCCGTGGGTGCTCCAGACTATGGATTTTAGCCTGTGACCCTGCTATAATGTCCCCAGTCATCACGAATTATGACCACCACTACTGTTGCTCTCCCGCTATATAAGACATAATACAACACAACAAATACATTACACTTCACCGCAACGGTTATACCCTTCCAAACAGTGGCGGGTGATGGCGGCTCTCCTTCTTGAGACGAAACCACACATCACAGGCTTTTGGTGGCACCGCAATGGTAACGAAAACACTGCTTAGCTCTGAGCAATGGTGACCTCAACATCTACACCGGGCTCAATGAAGATGGAAGTGATGTCCTTCACAACCTTAGGGGTGGCCTGGAGATCGATGAAACGCTTGTGGATACGCATCTCGAATCTGACATGAAGGTGTGTTGGCGAGTTCATCTTGTACCCAGTAAGATCATTACCTGTCCCACGTGTTAGTACCCTCTCCATTAGGGGACTTACGAGTGGTGATCTTGAGGACCTTAGTGGGCATGCGGACGGGACCAGCAACAGTAAGCTCGTTCTCGTGGGCACCAGCCATCAACTCGGAGCACACTAAATGGCAGTTGCAATAGCAGCACTACGGTGGAGGGCGAACCCTAGCATTACCCTTCTCCAAAGCCTTAACGTTCCTGGAGGTGAGAGTGATACGGATGTGATGGAGGGGCTCCTCGACGGGAACCTCCTCGTAACCTTTCTGGGCGCTCTTGGGAGATGCCATGCTGAGGGAACAACAGTCCGACGAGGCTCAGAAGACGTAGATTCCAACGAGAGACGGTCAACGCCGACAACAACAACACCCCATCTACACACACCGCGAGAGCTGAGAGTGAACAGAGACGCCCTTAAAGACCCGCGTATTACCTCAACTGAGTAGGAAGGGGAGTTGCGTAAAATCAGTTCTCCATGTAGAGAGCCGATCGCGCTGCGCCATTTTGATCGATTTTGGCCTAATTCGCTAATTCAAGCGCTCGCCCTCTCAACAGATCAGAATCATCATGTTGCGCTGTGGTACAATTAAGGTTTCGAGAGGAGCTCTCGCAAGACTCTCCACTGCTTTAGAGGTTAGAGATATCCATCTGCAAGTGGCAAATACAATACCACGGTGTTATTCAACACCACTGACTCTTACTAACACAAAAGCTCGGTGGACTTCCAGCGAGAAAAAAGTAATAGCCGATCACAACAACTAAAGGCTATATGCTGTTCTATGTTCATTACTCATCTACATAGAACATCTTTGGATGTACTCATTCACAATAGAGTATCCATATCGTCAGCAAATCTCGACTCATGTTTGCGGTCAACACTGCGCTTTGTCTTGGCCTTAGCGCCTCTATTGGCAGGCTCCTTCACCTTGTATATACGAACGATCCAATTCTCTGATGTGAAGACCTCGTCAAAGTACTTCGGCTTGACATTGGGAACGCCTGAGAACATCATCAGCATTGATCTCAAGACGGCATCCACTAACTAGTACCTATCTGTTGTTGTCTAACAGAGTCATAACCCCTCGAGACCTCAGCAGCACGATGATAACACAACTTGTACATAACCGAGTTCCTCATTCTAGGAGTTGCTGCTTGATCTACCCGGTACCTACGAAGATGAGGGGAATGCATACAACCACTTAACATGCCTAGCTACCCTTGAGGCCCGATGAAGTCTGACTCTTGGATTAGGTTGGGATAGACCCCGGCACCGATGCGAATCGGCCAAAGGAACTTGTTGATGTCATCACCCGAGTATTGGGAAACTCCACCATAGAGCACCTAGGCTCGAAAATAAGACCAGGCAACAGTTGTTATCGTCGTACCAAGACATAATCCACATCAAGACGTCTGAGGATGGGCACGGCGTTCTCCTCAGTCGAGGCCAATACCAGGCCAACAGTGGCGATATGCGTGTTGTTCCATGTATTGTTGTCAACCAATACCTGCAAGGGTCGACCCTACTATTGCAGATCCACAACGTTAAGACCTACTGTACGATTGCCCATAACGGTAATCTGATATCCATAATCCCACCAACTAAGGATCTTGCTGTCCTGTGGGGTATTCATGCGTAACCAATAGTAAGCCTCTCTGAAGTCATCCTGGATCAAACGACTACCATCACGTAGTTGATCTGATACATTAGCACTGTAGAGCATGGACCAACACCTGTAGACTCACATGACATAACAATGCTTGGAGAGCTGTAGGCCATGGAGGAGGTGAACACACAGTGCTTGATGTAGTTGGTACATTGATAACCGAGGACCCCCAAAATCGCCAGAGCTAAGAACCGGGGCATCTGAGATGGGATAAAAACATTACGGCAGTCGGTGACCTTCCTCACATAGGGTAGCTTGCTTCCTTTCTTAGCCTTCGGACCATCGACATGATCATTGAATGCACGTAGGTACCTGTAAGATGAAGTTCAGATGAAGCAGGGATCGGTCACGTAGTACGGCATCACTGAGGAGGCCACGACCGAGGCGCCAACACCAGCGAGGCATGATGCTGCTGGGGCTAGAACCTGGGGAACAGCGAATGGGCTAGGAAGTATCAGAAGGATGGTATTAGTAACTCACCAGTAGGAGACGGATCATGACACCCGAGAAGTAGACTGCTAGGATGCCGTATACACCCAGGAAGAGGGAACCATCAGACAAACGTCTCATGCAGTAGTACCTTGCAACAAAGAACTATAATAACCAGACACTATAGTTGGTGTTGTTGCCGTACATGCCAATGGGGGCCAAGAATGGCAAATAATGAAGATCCATAATATAGTTTGACCAGGACGTTGGTTGATGTTCCGATACTGAGGCTATAATAGGAATATACCTACACCCAAACTACTCCCCATGTTGTGATGGTAGCAGTAACCGTTTACTTCGACGCATATGTGGGATCCAACAGAGTCATACTCCTACCAGACCAGGCAGTCTCTGAGGGTATACACGTACAATTCAAGTAGTAGAGAACAAATGACTTACTCCCAGTCAAGGTTAGGTAAATGAAGAGCCCCAAAAAGCCAAAAGCCGTAGCTGCCACCATCAGCTTGCCCATCACCTAACAGCACGATAAAGGTGGTCTATATGGCAGACACCAAGAGGAGCTGAGACTACAGCAAAGGCTCCCTCTGGCAGTATATTCCTGAGATATCCTACTAGCATGTACCTGAGTACCAGTACGGCCTAGGGGAAGGCAGTAGCAAGGGGGACAGTACACTGAGCTGATGAGGAACATGCCGTGGGAGGCCATGTGCTCGCTGGAAGTGACAGCTTGGAAGTTCACGAAGGGAATGTTCAGACAAAACATCGTGCCAATTATATAAAACACGGTGTACCTGATCGTGCCAATACGACTTCATAACGGCAACCATGAAGACGCAGTTTTAACACTCCTATTGCCAACACATGGAAATCGCGAAATTGCCGATTGCACTAGAGTTGACTATTATCTTTCCCATCCTTACGCGACATAATGCCTCTTGTTGAATTTGCCGAGGACCAAGAGTGCGAAGATGTAAATGGATACAGTGTTGGTGATAAACACATACCCTCCCCAAGAGGCTACCATATAAAAGTACCTGCGGCAAGTAGCATATAGCAAACTCATGATCATCCCAGCTTACGCAACTGCCGCGAACATCGACCACAGCATGCTCCCAGTATTGACAGCTTTCACAAAAACCTGATGGAATGGCCAAGTCCCCACTACCACACCAAGGAGAGCTCACGTAGAATGTGTTAGTCAGAGCAAAGATAGCCACCGCCTCGTTATCGTACGATCCCGCCACGGAACGGGACAGATACGACGGACAGATACCCAGGAACAGGGCGCTGAATAGTCCTGCCTCTGGACGTCCTGGAAGGGGCCGCACTGCTGACAAACAGCATCGACGGCCCTGGGTAGCCTACCAGTGACCTCCTTGGTTAACAGGTAGGCAGCGATAGCCGTGAATGCCGAGAAAACAGGAGCCATGAACACGCACACGTTACGTACGTTCACGCATATACCGAAAAAGTTGAGAACCTGGCAAGTGGAACGCGTAAATTTCTATGGGCATGTCGACAGCCTCACCCCGTGAAACACCGCAGATGTGGTCATCAGGCCCGGGTATAGTGTCTGACCAATCACACGGCCCAGCGGGTACCTTTATGGAAAATGGCAACGGCAGGGGTGGCAGTGGACAGCAGCCTCACCAGCTGCCGTTATCGAACCAATTCCAAAACTCATAAAACCCTTCACGGCTAAGGTACTCAGTAGTACGGTAATTGAAGTAAGGATCGAACTCGTGAATGACGGATTCGTAACTACGAATGAATACACCGAGCGAGTCTTCTCGGACACACTCACCGGATAACAGCAAATAGACGGATGAAGAAGCAGACCGTACAGATGAGTGCCAGAATCTGAGCAAGTCAAACTCGACACCGAGCGGCCCACTGACACCTACCGCTTTCTCCATCACTGGTGACCATCTACGACCAGTCTTCTGCACCGACCTAGTAACCTCATTCTTGAGCACTGCATCGAGGATCACATCGACCTCACTGGACGAGGTCCGCTCTGCTGAAGTGCACATTGCCTAAAGCCACTGAACGACACTTCCTCATAGGTAGTATCAACAAAAAACCCCAATGGACAAAACGAAAGTAATGCTCTCTAGCGCCTGGCCGGATGCTCGATAGGAACACCGAAGAGATGATAGTATGATATAGGTCGTTGCAGAACTTCTATTATATGAGCTCACTGCCGTGATGAAACCAGTCAGCGGTAGTCCATTTGGAGCTGGAGCAAGTCGCGCTTCAAGTGCTTCTCACCGTCCACATCAGAGCCCCACGATCTCACGACATATATTCTGCCATACCACACCTCGTCCACTTCAATGGACAACACCCCTCGCCAGATTCCCAGATCGCATGAGCATAGTACCTCTCCAGTGCAGAGATCTGCTACGGATATAGTACGGCCATAGTTACCTCCCAAACAAGCAAGGTGTCCTTCAGAAAACAACCGACATTCCATTACACATTTCACGGGTAGCATGCGAGCCCTTCCTTGGCCCCTACCAGGCGTCAGGGTCCGCACACAGACACCATCATCCTGATACAAACAACTATATACTACTCTGAGCCGACGGCCAGATTTCGGGGACTGGTAGACGTCGAAAGACCACACTCGCCAACGAGTCTGCAATATCTCGTCACATTCGCCCGTATAACTGTTGATTCTGAAGATAGTATCACCTACACCTCCCGAGGCAGATCCCTCGTCAATAGCAAATAGAAACCCCTGGGAATACCGTAAGCACCCCCAACGCCGTTTCCGAGTCGAAAAGCACGCTTGCGATGACCTTCCGTTCAACGACGACGACAAAGTCACTGGAACAATACCAGAATCGCCCAGTCCATTAGTCCAATAAATAGCCTCTGCGGAGTTGAAGAAAGCAATTCCTTTGCCGTCCGTGCAGACGCCAATAGAAGTTGTCAATGTCTGACTCGTGACCGGTCCAAAATACCCAAAATCGCATAGGACTCTCGAGAGCTGTAAATTCGTAGAGTTAACCGTCACCACACTGCTATTACAGCGTCCGACCAACGACATCTTGCCCTCGCCTTTGAGATGAAGCAAACCTCCAAAGGCCCAAACGCCATACGCGTCCGAAGCGTACGTCTTCAGTCGAAGACCCATGGGAAGCCGAGGCTTACTCAGGTACGTCCATATGGAGTTGAGAAGCTCAGCAGGGATCTCATTGATATCACGGCATGTGTCTGCTAAAAGGGCCAATTCCAACAGCTTGTAATGCCGGCAGCGCACTATCGGCGTCCCAGAGGAGCAATGCCGGTGTGCTTCCAGTTCGTAGTAAGGAACAACAAAACTAGAATGCTAATACATGCACCCATTCCCAATTCATTAAATGTCAACCTCACTATCACTCAATGCTGTAGTTAATAGAGCTCCACAGGAGGGATATCACGGAGAGGCAACACTACTACTAGTCACAATGAGGAGAAGCCAATCAATTGACTGCTATACAAGCAGTAGTCTACGAGACAGTTCAACGTTTCCTCTATCAATACTGTTATGCCGCGTACCACATTATGGTAGCTCACTGACGGAATACCGGTGTATGCTCGAAGCGAGCAAAAGCTTGCGGTTCATATTCCAGAATTGTAATATTATCAGATCTTGAAAAAACTTCTCTCACATTCCTATAGGATTGTCATCACTCGCCAATACCTCTTCAGGGCTAGCAGCAGTCTTCCCTATGCTATACTCGAGCCCAGCGGCTTGATTACCCGAATACACAAGCCAGGGAAATTGCCAGCGGTCTGGCATGCCCCAGTGGGCAACAGGCTTTCCGATATACTTGCTCCATTGGAAGGGGTCAGTCCCTTGACCAAAGGCAGGAGCGCTGACCATGAGGACCCTATCCTCTAAGAGTAGAGAGGAACTAGTGACCTTGCAGTCAATACATCCATATGCCTTCACTGGACCACATGCTTGGTAGTCACTATCATTCCGAGGCTCATATGGTATATCATACCTGACGAGCTGGTCATGCACAGATTACCCAAGTCCCCCTCACTAGCCACCTACCTGCCAGCGATAGCGTTCTTGGGACAGTTCTCAGAGAGAGGGTCGGTCTTCCAGTAATTAGAGGTCATAATCCTCATCATACTATCAGTATCATTAACCATCCCTTGCCATTCTCGGAATAGTCTAGCCCTAGGACAATCGTTGTACTTGTACCATTGGCCATGTTTTGCTGCCGCTCGCGTGTAACCACCAGCCTTGAGTGAAGTCTAAGTACTCAAAGAAGTGCCTCTATTATTACATCCTGTATGTCCTTGAAGTAGGGCCTATTGTAACTAGCCCAATACCCCTTATTTTCGAGCTTAGCTGTCATGTCCTTGGCCACGATAAGACCAGGCATTTGCTCGATGAGCCAGAAGGTACCACTTGCCATCGGCCCCACTCTACCCTTGTGGTTCCATCGACGGAATGGCTTGAAATCCACCACCATCCATTGGTTATTATACGTACCACTATTGTGACGCGAGAATGTACTGTACCTGAGGAGGACGATGATAGTACCACACCCTCCCGACATTGTTCACCCGCCTACCAATCTCGACCACCGGTAGCCATGAGGGTAGCAACAACACTCCGAATGACAGTAGTCACACTCAATGGTCGGACTTTATCTACTAGGAGCTTCACGGACATCGACTCAGTTGTCGTCTCTGTTATAGCCAGCTGAGTGTCATGGGTCTGAGCACGAACGAGTAGCGGGAAGGGATAGTAGAGACTCCTATTACAATAACCCAGTCGTCCGTTGAACTGATGTACCCCGGGTAGCTGCTCATAGAGAGCTGTTGACTTCTGATAGAGGAATGCTGTATGTGAGGGAAGGAGAATGACTTGTAGACCCGTAGCATCTCCGTATAGGTAGTCCACGTGTTGTGTGATACCTACCACTACTATCACCACTAATCCATGCATGGTTAACCTGTTTGCATTACGATAAGATCGTCGTGCGTTAGTTTAATTAATGCACTGCATTTAGTCTCCTCAGCCATAGGGTGTCTCGAGATCCTCAGCGGGTCCTGCTCGGGTACCTCTGTGGTAGTCACAGCGGACTCGATCTCCCCTATCTCCGAGTTGGAATTGAGCTCATAGAGCGATAAAAAAGTAACCGGCATATAGGCCCATGACCTGTCATATCAGTGGCCGTCTTCCCTTGCAGAGTCTTGATTACTCATAGCCAGGTTCCTTGTCTCGTATAGCATGCTCCTGTCGAAGCACTAGACCTTCCATCATGCCATCCAACCTAGCCAACTGCATCCATACATTAAACCAGAAGGGATCATCTGATTGCTTCTCAGAGGCCTGAGAAAGCTGCAGTTAACAACACCAGTTACCACCAATGGACGGTGCCTCACCTGCTCTCGCATGAATATGTACTGCGAATTCAAAAAAGTGTAAACCCTGGGATCCCTCCGTGGCTTGGACCACATCAAATTGTACATATGCTGTATCACCCGTCGAGAAGTGAGATACCTAAGTTTTCCCTTCACCCACCTAAGCTCTACGTTATCACCAACCCTTCAGCGAGGCCCATGGCATAGAAGTAATCCCGATCCGTTGCTCCTTGATGATAGCTAGTATCAATGAGTAGACGTCCAGTTCCTGTCGTTTCCTAAAGGTCTACACTGTGGAATAGGAGAAGACCTCGAGCCTGTTTACTTGCGTGTCCATCCAAGTGGCATTGACCAACCCATCAGACTGAGGTGGTCCATTGGGCTCTGCCAGACCCCACCGTGTAACCACGAATAGGTCGGATTCATGATGATCCCCCGTTCCTGGCCGATGGTTGGTCCTCAACGAGACCACGGCTATAGAGGAGTCCTCGACGGGAACAATCGTCGTTCCACTTGGTGGTAAGAGAAGAAGTAGTGGCGCCAGTGAATGACAGAGTCGCATTAGTGAGCCGATGTTGTAACACGAATTGCTCAAGGAGTGGTAGTACTTAAACGTAAAGCCAAAGCTATAGTACTGCGTGATACGATGCAATATAGATCATTTCTAGGACGCTAGTCCATGTGACGTACAAGTCTACCCACAAAGCATATGACCTTACGTAATTTACAATGTTCACTCATTCATCGGCGGGCGCGCGCGTTATTTCGTGGCGCAAATCTTGCAACGTCGAAACTGGGGTTGTATAGTATACAGGCAAGCAATAGGAGTATACAGTGGATACTCCTATTGCTTACCTACCTACAAATGACCTTTCAGTACTGTTCCTTGTAGAAGTCACTATTGATAGTTTCTACGAAAGTGTTGATGATGTTCATCGCACTGGTCGTTGAATCCCATGGTTTACCCTAGCAGGACTCAGACAAGTCTATGGAGAATACTATGTTGGACCAGGCAGGGCCCTTGTCTCCCGTTAGTCTAGTTCATCGCTGTCTCCTCAATGAAGCGTTCTTCGGACCCTGTCAGTACCGAGCTGATCTCACCGGAGAAGAAAGCACGAGAAGAAGCAGCTGTTGACAGCAATGCAGTACCTGGTAGTACGTCCAAGGGCGACTCAGGAACCTTTGAACCACTCTGTCGCGGTACAAAGGCTCGCTGATTGTGTTGATGATGGGATTGTTGACGAGGGTTAGCTCCACTACTGTTAGATCCCATCGGCGCCTTATTTGTGGAAGATGGAGAAGGTGCGGTAGAGACGGATGCCGACGAAGGCTCCTCTCAATGCCAGAGGGATCCAGCAGCGCCTTCACAACCGTCCCCTCCCGATGACCACACGGTGACAGCACACGAAGAGATTTCGGCGTGTCACTTCTTCGCACGAGGTCAGAAACGATGTTAAGTTGTCGGACTAAGGCAACTCCGTTGTTGTTAGGTATGTGCCGTAACGGCACCTCCTGCCCGTTCCGACATGATCCTAAGAGCATTATATGTACGTACTACCTTCACGGTAATTGCCGTAATGGAATCTCATGCCGCTTCTCCCACGAGTTGCCCGACACACAGCAGCCTGCCGTTGAAGAGGGCGTCGATGGACCGCCACCTGATGTCTGCAAGTGGGTCGTTGAGGTTTCATGGCGCGGGGTACTATAGATGTTCCCTCAGGTTCTTCTGGCACGGTAGTTGCCGGGCAGGAAGTAGCTGTCGATGGCGGCATGTGAAGGCTCCTTCTCGGCTATCGGCGGCACCTCCTCCCAATCTGCCAGCGAAATCGAATCCATTGGTCTCCGAGCGAGCCAAGGCTTTGCTGGAACGGCACTCGATCTCTCGGATAGCACAAGAGAGTGGGGCCTCTGAGATAGTGGTGAAGGCTCGTGCTCCTGCTACTAAGTCCCAACGATAACGTTATTGTGGATATCATTGAATGTTTCGACATTGTACTATGGCATTGATCGAGACTTTGTGTTGGGGGGAGAGTTCCTCTACGAACTCTGGTCGTCTAGGAGCCCATGGAGCACTGTAAGTCGATACGGTAGGCATGTAGTTATTTTCCATGGGCAATCACTTCTGCAGCAAAAATAAGGCCGCCGATTCAGAGGTTGGTACCCCTCTTCCAGCCGACGGCAGCCAACATGTACTACAGCCTCCTGGTTTGGCGACTCATCCCATTGCAGGTAGGCGTATTGTCGACGTTCTCCGATACAGTAGTGGCAACTGCTGGGACTTCGTTGCCGCCAGCACCGGTGACCATTGACGTTGGTAGTCCGATAAGTGAACGCGACTCTTCTCCTTCTGGGAAGGGATTGGCTGATGATTATGACGATGAAGAGGTAGTTCGTCTTGGTATGGTATGAAGGTAGTGAATTTTAGGCAGAAGAACAGAAAATTACGGAGCAGAAATCGGCTGGTCGTCGACCTGGAGTATCGGCGGAGGCCTATACGGTCGAACGGATGGACACCTACCAGGCTCCTGTGTATCCCAAGACACCCGAGGAGATCAGTACTATCAAGAGCATGTTGTCCTCGGACCAGGGTGACAGCCGAAAGGTAAGGTTGATTGGAGATTGTTGGTTGGGACGAGACGTATGGTAGATCCTATTTGGTCACATGCGCGACTCTGATTTGGAGAAGATTGCACTGGCAATGCGTAGGAAGGACGTTAATCAAGGAGAGAGCATTATCCGACAGGTTGGTGGGAAACAGGTGTCGGCGCGGTCCATAGCTGTTTAGGGCGATTTTGGTGATGCCTTCTATATAGTGGAACGAGGCACATTTGATATCTTCGTTAAGCGAGGCAATAAGGAGCCTTTGAAGGTGGTCTTTGTCTACTGTTCAGCATCTTTTTAGTCAGTTTTCCCCCTAGGTAATGGAGTGCGGGCCAGGGGCTTCCTTTGGTGAACTAGCGCTGATGTATAACGCGCCACGGGCAGCTACTGTGACTGCGACGTCTGATGCCAAGCTGTGGTAAGGGAGGAGTCTTCTAGAGGGAGGGGCTCACTCGTGTTGTCCGTAGGAGTCTCGATCGTGAGTGCTTCCAGCTGATGGTCGTGACCAGTGAGAATACGAAGAAGAAGAAATATGAGTCCTTCTTGGAGAAGGTCCCTATCTTGGCCGACTTGAACAAGTATTACAACATATGGTTCTCGGAGTCGTGTCACACTGTGGTTCTCTGTAGGTATGAGCTAGCACAGTTATCGGATATGCTCACCTCCGAAGTCTTCAGCAGTGGGGAGGTCATCGTTAAACAAGGAGATGTCTCAGGAGACAAGTAAGTCGACGTGATGCTGTCGGGTGATGGAGTGAGGGGTAATAGGTTTTATATTTTGGAGAGTGGCGAGTGCATTGCGTCTATATCGGGACAGGAAGGTGAAGTGGAGGTGAGCACTGGCTGATTCTCGATGGTTGTGGTATCTTATGCCAGGTCAAGAGGTATACCAAACCTGGGGACTACTTTGGGGAAATAGCTCTACTCAAGCATGGTGAACCCCGCAAGGCAACTGTCAAGGCGGCTGATGATAAGAAGGGCTGTCGGGTATGGGAAGGCCGAGATGATAGGTGGAGTATTCTTGGGTCGCTAGGTACTCTCGGTTGGTCGAGAAGAGTTCAACCGTGTTTTGGGCCCTATCACGGACGTGCTGAGGAAGAATGCGAGCAAGTACCCGTCTTACAAGGACTTCCTCACTATCACAGATGATGGTTGTCCTTCTAACGATCCGGTTGATCGCAGAAACTGACCTGCGCATATCATTGATTTATTGAAGTTTTCCGGTCTGATCTGTTCCGTAGCTCTAACGTCAGGACGCCTTCTTAATATCAATTGTTCATATCATCACAACGACCTCGAGGCTCAACACTATTCATTAGAGACAGCATATACATCTAATACTAGTGATAGAGTCATAGTGTACTGGGGTCTCGACGGCTGGCCCCACGTTATACTTGTTCGGACCCAGCGTCCTTGTCTTTACAATGTTGTCATCAGTGCTTAATTCACCACCACAGCTGGGTTGTGTTGGGAGAGACCTCCAATGATTTTTTCATTGGCATCAACGTCGTAGTCTCACCTCTTGAGTATCATGGCTCGTTCTCGCTCTCGTACTCCCGGTAGCAGTGGTAGATCGGCATCTAGGTCCTCGTCGTCTAGGTCGAGGTGAGATGCCCATCGGTTCGTCCTTGTTAATGCTGGTCTGGTTTAGGTCTAGTTCAGTATTGTCTGCGGCCTCGGAGCCTGAAGCTGAGGGGCTCTCTGTTATCAAGGTTAGGTCTGAGGAAGCGGCGTTGGTGTTGGGTAGAGGAGGGAGTACTAAACGCAAACTGGAGAATGCTGCTGACTGCGACATTGAGCTTGTGAACACAGGTAGGCTATAGTGCTCTTGCTTCGCTCCGCCTTTTTTTCATCGTATTTGTGGCCTGCTGCATCGATATGTTTCTCAGAAAATGGTGATTCCAATGTGGAACTTCGTGGTCCGGCTCGCAATAGAGAGCTTGGTCGTGACTATATCTGTTTCCTACTTCTTAATAAGAAGAATGAACCTCTCGAGTTGGATCCTGAGGATCGTGAGGACTGCAGCTGGATCGATGTAGGGCACGATGGCTTTAGCCATCGCTCTGTTGAAGCCACAATCAGGTGCCTCAAGACACCATAGGGTATGTCACGGGTCGAGAGAGGTCGACTCTCCATGCCTTAGAGGAGGAGACTGAGACTCTTATGTTCTTCCAAGGTAGTAATAGTAGTAGGGAGTGGTGGACTGGTGTTATTCGCTAGATAAGGATGTTGGAGGATCGGGACCTCGAGTGAGAGGCCAACAGGATGAAATTGAGAAACTCATTATTCTTGGACCTACTCGTGGGAGGCGTATTGCTCAGTTGAAGGTGAGTGGCAGTGATCATTTTTGGATATGCACACATCGTTTACGTTGAGTTTGATGTGATTTTTTTTATAGTTGATGTCGGCTATTGAGTCGAAGTCCCCGGGCTTCTTTCTCGATCATCGTGATAGATGGAATCTGGATGATACTCATGAAGGCAAGCTTGGCCTGACGACGGTGAAGATGTAGAGTGAACGACGCCCCTGTTCCGGTGTCATCAGCTTTGTCCTATGTAGGACCGAGGCTCAATTCACCTATGCTTTGGGGAGGCGCGGCGCCACACGGAAGAAGCTTGAGAGAGCTAGTGGAGCCATAATTGAGTAGGTTGGGGTATAGACACGTTGATAGGGGAGAAATCAAGGCAATGAGAGTTGTTTCTCCTTTGGGTGTTATCGCGCGCGCCATCCTGATCGATTAGCCTGTCAGTGGAGTCTGAGTCGTTCGTGATGTAAAACACGCAATGAGAATTGAAGAGAAAGAATTAAATCGAGAGCTGGCGATGCGGAGGGTGGCCGAAGCCGACGGGAGCTCTGGGAGCTGAGATTGGAGGAGATGCCCTCTCGTGAAAAGAACCTGATCAAACCGAAAAGCTGAACCGTCGAAGTCTATCGCCTCTGCGTCATCCTCGTGGTCCTGAAGAAGTGTCAAGCATGGATAGTCGGACGAATGAGGAGGGGCTAATGAAATGAACATCGATGCTTGTCCTGATCGAAAATAGGGAAAGATGCTTTCACAGGAGGTGCTACTGTAAAATTCATCTTTTTCTGGCGGAGCGACGCGGGAGAATTTGTTGCTCACGAATGGTGATTACTGTGTGATAGCGTTCAGGCGTAGTCATCAGGTATATCGGTTACACGGCTTTCATATCCGGTACCAAGGCAGAGAGGCGTCGTGGCAGGGATTACCTCAACTTTTTATTGGATCAGAGAGAAGGAGAGGTACAGTGTCGCAAGCTAGAAAGTGGTTTTTGGATCATCATCATCATCATGTCAACTTTGGAAATATAAACCTTCGGCCCACATCGATTCGTGACATGCTCTACGAACACTCTGGGGAAATATTCACTCCCTGTTCAGGTGAATGTGAAGTTGGACGGTCGTGAGGATGTCACTACAGTCGAGACCCCTGAGGAGTATATCGGCTTTATCACTGGGCATAAGGGCAGCGAGCTTCGATCTATCGAGGAGCGTACTGGAACCTTCTGCTTTGTGGATGGCTGTGACCAGAGCTTTGTACGGGATGATGGCCCGTGGTGGGGTAAGGGGAAGGGTGGCTGGGGTAAAGGAAAGGGGAAAGGCTATTCGAGCTGGCGCGATGATAGAGATAGGGCCCGTCGGCGTCCGAGGGATGGGCCACCACCAAGACTATTGATATTCTGTTACGATGCGAGGAGGAGGGATGATGCCGAGGAGATGGTGAGGGATAGAATCCATAGGAAGGTCGAACAGGATAAGGAAAGAGGTAGTGGTACTATGAGTGCTGCGGTCTTATGGTGTAGTTCTTGGTATTAGGTAAAGGTGGTCTACATCGGCCTTTCCTGAATCGCCATAGCAACCCCGAGATTGAGACGAAGCGTCGCGAGCGTCTGGGTTTGCCATCGATCGAAGAAGAGGATGCGATGTTGGCCAAACAGAAGGCTGAGCAGGAGGCTAAAGAACGCGAAAGAAAGGAAGCTAGAGCGGACCGTGAGGCGGCGGCAGCCGAGGCGGCGGCCCGCAGATCTAGAAGCGGATCTAGACGTCGATCTCGCTCGCCCGATGATGATAGATCTCCAAGGGAACGCAAGAGGAGGCGTTCTAGGTCAGGAAGCGGTAGGCGTTCTAGGTCGAGGAGTGGCAGGCGATCGGTATCCCGCAGTGGAGGGAGGAGTGACAGGTCTCTGTCACGTCGTAGATCCCCTAGGGGAAGGCGCAGTCCGATGTCGGTGGATAGGGAGGGCCCGAAGGATAGGTCACCCAGGAGTCAAGATGCAGCTATCAAGAATGGGAAGGCACCTCCCTCTCCTGGTCCTGATGGAGATGACGTCGAGCCAATGTCCCCGCCAAAAAAGGCTCTAGAGAGATCAGACAGCCCTGTTGGGGAAGGCCGTAGTTCCGGTCGCCGTAGGAGTGCGTCTAGGAGTGGTGACAGAAGGCGTAGTCGCTCGAGATCCGAGTCCGAGCGCAGGTCTAGTAGGAGGAGAGGCTCGAGCCCTAAGGACCGTCGTGGGAGGTAATACTGGTCTTCATGGTTATATCGTGAGGGAGAGTACCTCACTGTGGATTCACTCTCAGGGACGACCGTTCGCGCAGCCGTGAAGGCCGCTATCGTCGTCCTCGTTCTTCATCTCGTGAGCGGTCTCGTCGTTCGAGGAGGGATAGGAGCGATTCGAGAGGAGACCGCGGCAGCAGATAATGAGCTGTTCGAAGCGATGGCATGTGAACGAAACTCTGCTCTATATGCTGTCTGTTTTTGATCTATCCCTTATTAACGTTATGATAGAAGCCAGTAGGATGCCTTCTGAAGAAGAGCACATAGGCGAAGGTGGTCGTTTGAGTAGCATCATTTGAGAAGTATCTTTATGAGTATCGACGCCAACAGTATGTTAATCACTTTCGGTCTGCTTTGTGTTTCGAGTCAATGCTATCAATATCGAACCCGTGGTAGAGGTACTAGTTGCAGGTAGTTCACCTGTCCAGTATGGGGCACTCTACAGCACCCAAAATAGGATCCCATGATGATGTAAGGTTCTGGAAGCTCTACCGTGGTTAGCGCATGTATGCCTGGTTTTAGCATCCGGGCGGAGAGTCCGAATCGACGGAATATCTCCGGCAGCTGTTTTCTGAGAGGATTGTTTTGCTCGATGGCGGTATGGGCACAAGGTAGATGTCCATGATTGTGGGCGTTGTAGTAGGCTGCGTCTTTAGGATACAAGCGGATCGGCTGCAGGAGGAGGATTTCCGTGGTGAGATATTGAAGGATCACCCCAAGGAGCTGAAGGGCGACAACGATCTTCTCTGTTTGACGCGGCCGGATCTCGTAGTCAAGATCCATAAAGAGTAGTAGTTGGAAACTTAGGGGAAGGTGATGGTTTTGAGTCTTTAAGGTATCTTCATGCGGGTGCGGATCTGATAGAAACGAATACCTTCAACGGAACTACCATATCCCAGGCGGAGTACCAATGCGAGAGCCTGGTTCGGGATCTCAATTTCCAGGCAGCCATGTTGGCCAAGCAGGCGTGTCGGGAAGTGAGCGGCAGGAGATGGGTAGCGGTAGAGCTGAGTGATGATAGGTGGAGGCCGAGACGGGTCGACGACGACTAGTGGCGGGAGCGATCGGGCCTACTAGCAGGACTCTGAGTGTGTCACCAAGTGTGGAGGATTCCAGTTATAGGAATGTGACTTGGAATGAACTTGTGAAGGCTTATTACGAACAGGTAGTGGTAGTAGGCTACAGGAGATGGGGATAGAGCCGAGCGGTTAGCCGTTCAGGTTGATGCGTTGGTAGCAGGCGGGTCTGATGTTCTGCTGGTAGAGACCATATTCGATACACTCAACGCGAAGGCAGCACTGTTCGCTATTGATTGCTACTACGAGGACCATCCTCGAGAGTCGCGCCTCCCTACCATTATATCGGCGACTATTGTGGACCAAGTAGGGACGCCATGGCAACGATGGGTTCAGCTTACTGTGCTCTCAGAGTGGACGTACTTTGTCCGGGCAGACTATTGACGCCTTCTTAGTTTCTGTCATGGTAGTAGGATGGTTTGCTCTCTCTTCTAGGGTCACTCTTTCCTATTCAGCATGCTCGACCACTCTGCGTTGGCATCAACTGTGCCTTGGGAGCAGCTCAGATGCGGCCTTTTTTCGAGACCCTGGCCAAGCTGGCTCCAGTATACGTTCATGTGTAATAAGGATTGCGCTCCAGCTTGATAGTTAGTACTTGCAGATACCCTAATGCGGGCCTACCAAATGCCATGGGTGGTTATGACGAAACACCTGAGTCATTCGGAGAGTCCTTGGTCCTCTACGCGCAAGATCATCTCATTAATATGGTTGGCGGCTGCTGCGGTACCTTCCCGGCCCACATTCAGGCCGTTCATGAGCGTCTCAAAGTAGAGCGGGCGAAGTGTCCGGTCTCTAGTCACAAGAGGTGATTTCAGAGTTTTCCTCCGAGGCCGCTGCATGTCCGGCGCGACCCTGTGATGAGGCTCTCTGGGCTGGAGCCGCTGTACCTCACGCCTGAGTTGGGATTTGTCAACGTAGGGGAGAGATGCAATTTGATGGGGAGTCTGCGGTTCAAGAAGATGGTCGAGCAAAGTCGATGGGATGATGCCTTGGAAGTTGCCAAGGAACAGGTTAGCTCTCGTTGCCAGCTCCTTTACAATGATTTCGGGTGCCATCAGGTCGAGAATGGCGCCCAGGTCTTGGACTTCAATTTTGATGCGGACCTCATCGATGGGCAGCTGGCCATGGGCAGGTTCATGAGGTCATGTGTTACTGAGCCCGCGATAGCACGTGTTCCGTTCATGATTGATAGCTCGAAGTTCAAGGTAATTGGGATGAGGAAATGGTGGAGGTGTGGTATGATCAGAATTATCGGCTATAATGATGGTTGTGTGAGGCTTTTTTGAGGAGTTTGGTGGGACCTGATGCTCAGTGGCCGTCGAACTCTCACTCTGCGTTCTAGACAAAAATTACAGCCAAATATCCCGTTTTTGCAGCTCTCTGTTATTCCTCCTTGGCCAGGTGATCGAGGAGGGTCTTCAAGCAGTCCAAGGGAGATGTATAGTCAACTCGCTTTCCCTCAAGGTCGGCGAGGAAGACTTCATCTACCATGCCAGGCTGGTGAGACTTTTCTGCCTCTGGTCTTCAGCGTACTTCTTGTAAGGTACGGAAGTATGGTGCAGCTCTCGTGTGCATGGCCTTCGATGAGGAAGGACAGGCAGCGACTTTCGACGACAAGGTAGTTTTGAAGTCAGCTTGCGACTTGAAACTTCAGCTATGCTGCCTGTACTTGCAATCCCAGGCAGTTTCCGGTCGGAGTGGTATCGTCTTTGAATCTCCAGATTCGTATATGTGAGCGGACATACAAGATCCTGACTACCAAGTGCGGGTATGAAGGCCACGATATAATTTTCGACTGCAACATTCTGACCATTGCCACTGGTGAGGTTTTACCATCCACGATAGTTTCCTCTAGGAGTTGTTCTTAGGGATGGAAGAGCATAACAATTACGGCAAGGATTTCATCGATGCTGTGGAGATAGTACGGCAGAAATGCCCGGGGTGCTATACTAGCGGCGGTACTCTTTATGGGCGCCGTCGTCCCAGGTGGAGTCGTGGCCGTAGGTTTGTCGAATCTATCATTCTCATTCCGAGGCCTCAACGAGCTCCGCGAAGCCATGCATTCCGTGTTCTTGTATCATGCTATCCCGAAGGGCCTAAGCATGGCTATAGTAGGTTAGGCGTCTCCAAATACCGGTACATGCGGGCATCAGGTAAATGCAGGGGCTCTGCCGATTTACACTGACATACCTGAGGATATGCGACAGCTCTTGGAAGATGTGGTAATGAACGTGAGTCCTGAGGCCACAGAGAAGTTATTGGAGTTCGCCAGTGAATTGAAAGAGAAGAAGGCTCAGAAGGGTGGCGCCAGTGGAGGTAGCAGTAGAGGGAGAGTGGTTTGGTCTTTCAAGGAGTGCCTTTGTCGATTAGTGGTCAAAGCGGTCGAAGAATGGAGGACGGAAGGAGTCGAGAAACGACTTGAGCACAGCCTTGTGAAGGGCATCGATAAGTTCATCGTTGATGACGTACAGGAATGTTTGGATGGGTTGCAGCTGAGGCCCTTGGAGGTCATATCTTCCTTTCTGTGCTGCAGAAAGGCGTAGTCATGTTGTCGAGCTCAGGTGATCGAAGGACCGCTGATGGCGGGTATGTCCGTAGTGGGAGACTTGTTCGGGTCCGGGAAAATGTTTTTACCACAAGTAGGCATCTGCCCTGTTATCGTTCAGACCGGTCAATGCTCAGGTTATCAAGTCGGCTAGGGTGATGAAGAAGGCTGTAGCACACTTGGTGCCCATCATGGAGACGGAGAACAGGCGGAAAGCCCTGGAGGAGGGGCTAGATCCTGACCGTCCCAACTGGGCCGGCACAGTCCTCTTGGCAACCGTCAAAGGTAGATCGTACTCTCTCCCGTATACTGATTCCTGCTAGAGCTGCTGATTTGTACTCGTGGATCGGTAGTCTCAATTCGTGGGCAGTAACGCTTATGGCGGAATATTCTAGCAACGAGGATTTCCTATCGCCACGACTCGACTCACCTTAGCCAGTTCAGGTGATGTTCATGATATTGGCAAGAACATCGTGGGTGTAGTTCTGGGATGCAATAACTTCAGGGTAGGTATATATGATAGCAAGCCTGTGGCACTGTATTTGAAGCAGCAAGAGAGGCTGAATGGCGCCTGCTGCAGGTCATCGATCTTGGTGTTATGGTACCCTGTGATCAAATACTCAAGAGGGCTAGGGAGGAGAAGGCAGATGTCATTGGCCTCAGCGGTCTGATCACACCCAGCCTCGACGAGATGGTGTAGGTCGGACTTGGAACGACTTAGTCCGTATCATGTGCGTGTAGGTTTGTCGCACAACAGATGCGTAAGGAGAGCATGGACGTCCCACTGCTGATCGGAGGCGCCACGACCAGCCGAAAACACACAGCAGTGAAAATATGGCCGCAATATGAGGCCAGTGAGAGGATTGGCGATCAGGTGTGTCGCAGAGAGTTCATGCTATCCCGCATCAGTGGTTGTACCTTAGGCTCAGTGCCGGTGGGAGGTGTTGTTCACGTATTGGATGCGAGCCGGAGTGTGGTAGTTGTGAACAGTCTCATCCAGAACCCAGAGAGACGGGTGAGTCGAGTGGTACTATGCTGGAGAGGAGGGATGTTCGCAGTGTTGGAAAATATGCTCATGCCCAACTACATTTGTCATTGACAAAATGAGAATTCTGAGGGAAATTTTTGAAATTTCTATTGGTTTCTAAACACTTCTAACCATTTCGTATATGAACGCCAACTGGTGGGGAAGCTCCTAAGCTCAGTTGAGGATAGCGAACATATACTCTAACACTGAATGTTCGTGTGGTAGATTGAATATATGGAAGACATCAAAGAGGAGTACGACGGACTAAGAGAGGACTACTACAGCACACTAGTTGACAAGAGGTGGTTGTCCTTGGATGAGGCTCGGAAAATGAGGTATGTTCACCAGTTTTGGTAGGGGTGATTTGACGGGACGAATTGTATAGATATACCATTGACTTTGAGAAGTACCCTCCACCTCCTGCACCTAGGAGGTTGGGCAACAAGTATCTGGACGAGTACCCTTTGGAGGAGCTTGTCGAATATATCGATTGGACACCATTCTTCCAGGTGGGGACCGCGATGTGAAGGGCTGATGGAGGGTCCTTCTGTACCGTCTATCGGACATCAGCTACTAACAGGCCAGGGGGTAGAGACAATACACTGTTATGAAGGGTGCTCCTACAGCGAGTAGCATTTGCTCTGTTATGCATTACCTATTTACTAGGGTCGCTAGCCAAGGGGATTGACTTGAGTAGCCTCGTCAGATTTGTCATGTTGGACTCTTCAGTGCCACTGAATCAGTGGATACGTCGCTGCATGCTGATTTCAGGTGTATCAGTTGAGGGGAAGATACCCGAATAAGGACTACCCCAAGATATTCAACGACAAGAGAGTTGGAGAGGAGGCCAAGAAGCTGTTTGATGACGCCCAGGCAAGAACGGCGAGGATACGTGTCGTTGAGTGTGTTAATACAGGAACTGTTAGCAAAGGTTGTCCAAGACAGGTGGATTACCGCGACGGCTGTGGTTGGAGTCTACCGTGCGTGTAGCTCTGGTGATGATATCAATGTGAGGATCATATCAGGGTGGTGGAGTTGGTACCTCCTTTGTGACAGGTGCTGTCCCTGGACGGTTCTGGAGAGGTTCTCGAGACCTTCTATGGCATTCGACAACAGCTGGACACAGAACAAGACCAAACCTTCGCGTTGGGTAGTTCCATTACATTACGCCTTGAAACACCCCCTGGGTCAGGTGACTTCATCGCTCCTGAGGCTTCTGGCCTCCCAGATCATATCGCCCTCTTCTGCTGCCAAGCCGGGATCGGTGTTGAAGAGCGAAAGAAAGTGATACTTTGTTCGCTCAGTTGTTGTTGCTGTAGAAGCCGCTGTCACTCCGTAGATGTACAATGCCACTCATGATATCGACAAGTCCATTATGCTGGAGCCTTGGCAGATCGACTGGCAGAGCGTTCGCTGAGCTTATTCACCACAAGATTAGGACGGATCCTGACTTCTGGGGCTATGTGCCCGAGGAGAAGCTGACCCTCTCTGATATGCTCAAGGTGAATCTACGTCGAGCCTGTCAGTGTGGTGGACTATGAAGGGTTGGTTTTAGGTGAAATATGTGGGAATACGGCCGGCCCCTGGTTACCCTACGCAACCGGATCATCGAGAGAAGGATACGCTTTGGCGTTTGCTCGATGCTGAAAAGCTGTCAGGGGTGAGACGTGACTCCATGACAGGTGGCAGCGTTCTTGCTTCTAGGGTAAGATGGTCCTGACGGAATCCCTGATGATGATGCCAGCAGCCAGTGTATGCGCCCTGTGCTTCGCGCATGAAAAGGTCGTCGAATCACCATGGGCTCCTGTCGACCATATTGGCTCTCTCAGGCTAAGTACTTTGCAGTCGGACAAATCAATAAGGACCAAGTTGCAGACTATTCGGCTCGTCGTGGGTGCACAGTGGAGGACTCCGAACGTTGGCTGGGCTCGTCGACCCTTGGCTATGAGCCCCAATCTCAATAGATCTCTGTGCCTTGGATCATGATATAGCATTTTCGCTGTTGCCCATGTTGTAATGATTTCTATACCACAATTCTGATTATTCTGTAGCCTTACTTGTATTAATCCTAGCATGTTTTCTAACATCACAGGAGTAGGTGTTGCGTTAATCTAAGCGACAGGATCTGACACAGTTACGCAGTTAGCGAATAGGCATCCACACTGTGTGTAGCAGGAGGTATGGTATGGAATCGGATGTAGTGCTTGCTTTTCTCTCATGACTGAGGCTGGCCTTCAGATGCTGCGGTTGCCGCTGCCTACACTTCCTCACGATTCGTCGATGATGGGGGTACTTTTTCGTGAAGCCTCAGGGCCCACTGTGAGCGCTGATGACGGAAATGTGGTGAATGCGCGTGCAGAGTTGAACAAGGCAAGGGACGAGATAGATTCAGTTGATATCGCTGAGTGGCGATCTTTTTCCAAGAAACTCAACGCACTAGACGGCCTTACTAAGGATGTGAGAGAGATTGGATTCGGTAACTGGCGAATCACTGGTGGTCTAGATACGAGCCCGTGTGGGCTTTGACTTGCCTCTGGTGAATAACGCCTGGGCTAAGTTCTACGAGGTGCTGGTGGCTTACGGCCCGAGGATGTTCGAGAACGTTGGAGTTGATAAGTCTTTGCGTACCATGCACCTCTGTGAATGCCCTGGTGGATTCGTGGCTGCCCTCAACGTATATTTGGGTAAGCATCGAACGACTTTCCGGATGTTATGGAGACTTCTTGGTGGAGGTTCACGAATTTCCTGTTCAGCAATAACTCACCCAGATTGGGTGGAGAAGTGGCAGTGGCTGGGAGCTTCACTGAATCCCTACTATGAGGCAAATGACCTCAATCAAATGGTGGATGACGATGCCCTGTATAGACGGACTCGGGATCGTTGGTGGGTTACGAGTGCCTAGATCAGCTCATCCATCGAGTCTCGACAGGTGGACTGGTCCGGATGGTTCAGGGAACATCCTTCAGCCGAGCGCTGCTCAGGATATGTGGAGATGGTGAGAGGCTGAGTATTTAGCCCAGGTAAGTCGTCGATGGTCCAGGTTCGGATCTCGAGCCACTGGAGAGAAGTGTCACGTCGTGACTGCAGATGGGAGTATGGATGTTCAATACGATCCAAACAAGTAACACTCCTGATAGGTTAATGGGTGATCCGAGTCAATGTGTGCAGACAAGAGAGCCTATGCTTGCCGATAATATTCCGAGAGCTCCTATTGGCCATCGGCTTACTGCACCCCGGCGGTACCTTTGTGATGAAGGCTTACTCCCTGCTGGATGACGCCACTGTAGCTGCCCTGTCTCTGGCAGCATTCATGTTCGATACGATAGAGGTCGTGAAACCTGTGGCCAGCAAGGAGGCCAACAGCGAAACGTAAGGCTATCCTCTCCACTTCTCTCGAAACCATGTCTATCCGTTTTGATGGATTGCATTAAGACCACCATCAGATGTGCTGTATTCAAGGTACTGGGTTTGCCTTGGATTCCGAGGCCTTGCAAAGGAGGACGGCGCATGGCTGAGGAAGGCACTTGCTGTGCGAGGTGAGTTCATGCGATCTACGAAGCATCAACTGCTCCTCGACGGTTCCGGCAGATCCACGTGTCGAGCTAAGGATACCTACGAATGCGAGCCAGTCTTTACGAGAGTTTGTGCGTGCTGCTCGACAGGTCGCAGTGACATTGGCTGAAAAGCAAACAGAAGCTATCAAAGGAAAGCTCAGCCGATGGCGGGAAATGGGCGACTCAGATCCACAGCCCTATCCTAAGAAGCAGAGAACCATCAACAGTCTCAGTGGCGACTATGTACGCATGTTGATACCACCTGAACTTGACTTGGCCTTGGTGAAGCCGCTCTTACCGGCTGATACTGCCGGACGGCTCGGAGGGGTTGACAGTAGGCGTGCTAGTCGAGGGACAGTAGAGGACAGGCGTCATGACCATGAGGATGATACAGCACTTGGAGGCCTACGCGAGAACCTGGCAGAAGGCGCTTCCTTCTCTATGCAAGCCGTTACAAATCCGACGAGTCGCATCCCACGGATTCCATCCCTCACCGAATGGTTGACGTTCACGCTAACGACCCAGCAGCTTTCTGAGTGCCCCGGAGCCTATAGGAGGATTACCTCCTTCACTCAAGCCAATAATGTTAAGATCCCTAACTCTGGGTCTGTCGTCTACAGCCCTTTGGTTCGCAATGCTACTGAGCTCAAGGCCCTTGTTCGCAAGAGGCTACTCCGATTCGAAAAATGCCCGACAGTTCAGCCTCGATCGCCCGGCGATGCAGTGGCGTGTTCGCTCACCGGTGATGAGCGTAATCGAGCAGTCATTGCGGAGCTTCTGAAAGAGCATGCCAGCGTTGACCCTGATCACGTGTCTACATGGGATTCCCCCCTCCATAAAGCCGCCGCGATCAAAGGCAAAGCTGACGTGAGCGTGAAAATGCTTGCTGACCACAGTCTACTGGTCGACCCGTTCTCTCGGCAATTCGATCCGGCAACAAGAGAAGAGCTCATCAAATCAACCATAGATGGCGTGGAGGCTCTGACGATCGCGGGCTCTAGCGTCCTGCTGTTAGAGCTGGGGGCCGCTCCTGTGGTAGCAGTCTGGCTCGGCAGCTTACTCTTCCGACTGGCCCAACTATTCAACAAGATCAAGCTCGTACAGCCGTGTTCAGGTATGAACTTACGACCACCCGTTGCTACTCTTGTTTGTGATTTAGATGACTCTGTACTGAGATGCAGCAGTTGGGTTGTCTGCATGGGGCGGCTCAGTGGAGGAAGGGCCAAATCCAGTCTAAGAACCATCCGGGATGCTATTGCATCGAGGGATGTGTCCACCCCCATGGCTCCTATGACGTGCACATTGTAAGGGCACGGCTCGCTATACTACTTGCTGATATCTATCCTCCTGGCCAGGTTCAGTCCGTTCCATCAATGGCTTGGGGATGTCAATGAGACACTCATCCGAGGTCAAGTTAGGTGAGTATAGTAGAGAGTGCATTGCCGGTGGAGGCCTCAGTTATGGTAGGTACTGGCTGGCTTCACCGATAGAGGCCGACTCGAGGATGGTAGCGTTAAAGTATCTAGCGGATGAGGGCATCAAGCACTACACGTTCGAGGGAAACATAACGAAGAGTGTTGGGGTCTTCTTTGGTACATTCGACCCGATCCATGAGAATCACTGGGCTATCGTAGAGTATGCTCTCTCCAACAACCTGGTCACTTCCGTCCTATTGGTCGCCAATACTGAGAACAATCCATCAAAGCCGAAAGCGACTGACCTAGAGACTAGGCAATGCTTGCTACGGGAACGTGTCAGAGCGTCGGGCATGGAAGGAAGAGTTGAAGTTGCGACGGGGTATTCGGGGAACAGCCAGCGGTGGGCGGACCGAGAAGCTCTAGCGCATGCCCTCGTCGGCGACTTGGCTGCCTCAACAACCGACGTTTTGGTGCCAGTTATAATGTGTGGCGAGGATTCTTTCATGAAAGCTTTGAGGGGAAGTACTCGAGACAAAACTACTCGCCATTTCATCGGCCTCGCCGAGCTTGACACAAACATTATAGTCTTCCCGAGGTCGCCGAGGGCAGATGCCCTGAATGACGCGGTGAAGGAAGTCCCACCGAGGATACGCCGGAGGGTATGGAGTACTTTGAGTTTCATCATGCTCAGTTCGCCATCAGGTATCCGTAGCGGAAGGGTACTCCGATCCACATCCTAGGCTGTCTTCATCCCAAATACGGGCCGCTCTAGCCGTCCCCTCAGGATCACAGGTTTCTGGTGTGGAGAAATCTATACTTGCTTCTATACGCGAACGGAAACTTTATCAGTAACAGTGAAGCTCGAATCTTGGGTTCCTCAATTTACTCTGAAATAGTCCTCATTCGGTAATATTTGGTGAAGCCTGTTATGGTTGCCTTCGATGCAGAGGAGTCCAGTATGCGGCCTAGACGAATCGGGTTGATCTATTCCCCAACGCCTACCTTGGTGCTTGAGTTTGTTAAACTGAACGGCAGACTATACCACAGGCGTGTGCCTTTGCCGCGGCTTACCACCACGTCTGACTCGGCTGAAGTAGTTCAGAAACTCAGGCTTAGATTTAAAGCTCATCTGCCGCATCATTTGGTGTCGAACGAACAGGTCAGAAAGTCAGTGCTCTTTTTCCTGAGCTTGGTCGCAGTTGCACAGACTTATAGAGAAACTCAAAGATCGAGCCCCTCGCCCAATTAATCAGAGAATCGTAGCTGTGAGCACGTTCGAGACGACAGACTTCAACAAACTAGACAATGACGAACTCGCTGAAGTGAAGGCTAAAATGGATCAAACTTTTAGAGGAAACCAGGTGAGGAGTCATCGAGAGTTGCAACTGGTGGTGATTTGTACGTGAGGTGCGTCCCGATGACCCTGGCTTCATCTACGACCTCGAAGTGTCGTTTGATGGAGGTGCTGGTATCGACAAGACGAATGACTGGGATGAGTGGAGTGAGCATGAGAAAGTGATGCTTTAGCAAATCCAAACTGTGAGAACTGGCGTTGGCATTTTGGGATAGCCTGAACCGGGGTTGTCACGGCCACAATGTGACGTCCTAACCACTAGACGATAGCGACTCAAAGAAGTATGAGCCGCTGTCGGTCGACGTGGATCACCTATCACTAAACCTCTTCAAGAAGCGTACAACTCGATACATATCAAAGTCACTACCCGGATTTGAACCGGGGTTGTCACGGCCACAACGTGACGTCCTAACCACTAGACGATAGCGACTCAAAGAAATATGAGCTGCTGTCCGTCGACGTGGATCACCTATAACTAAAACTCTTCAAGAAGCGTACAATTTGATACATGTCAAAGTCACTACCCGGATTTGAACCGGGGTTGTCACGGCCACAACGTGACGTCCTAACCACTAGACGATAGCGACTCGAATAAGCATGAGCCGTTGTCGGTCGACGTGGATCACCTATCACTAAACCCCTTCGAGAAGCGTACAACTCGATGCATATCAAAGTCACTACCCGGATTTGAACCGGGGTTGTCACGACCTCAACGTTACGTCCTAACCACTAGACGATAGCGACTCAAAAAAATATGAGCTGCTGTCCGTCGACGTGGATCACTTATAACTAAACCTCTTCAAGAAGCGTACAACTCGATACATATCAAAGTCACTACCCGGATTTGAACCGGGGTTGTCACGGCCACAACGAGACGTCCTAACCACTAGACGATAACGACTCAAATAAACATGATCCGTTGTCGGTCGACGTGGATCACCTATCACTAAACCCCTTCGAGAAGCGTACAACTCGATGCATATCAAAGTCTCTACCCGAATTTGAACCGGGGTTGTCACGGCTACAACGTGAGGTCCTAACCACTAGACGATAGCGACTCAAAGAAGCATGAGCCGTTGTCGGTCGACGTAGATCACCTATCACTAAACCTCTTCAAGAAGCGTACGATTTGATACATATCCAAGTCATTACCCGGATTTGAACCGGGGTTGTCACGGCCACAATGTGACGTCCTAACCACTAGACGATAGCGACTCAAACAAGCATGAGCCGTTGTCGGTCGACGTGGATCACCTATCACTAAGCCTCTTCAAGAAGCGTACGATTTGATACACATCAAAGTCACTAGCCGAATTTGATCCGGGGATGTCACGGCCACAACGTGACGTCCTAACCACTAGACGATAGCGACTCAAAGAAATATGAGCCGCTGTCGGTCGACGTGGATCACCTATCACTAAACCCCTTCGAGAAGCGTACAACTCGATGCATATCAAAGTCTCCACCCGGATTTGAACCGGGGTTGTCACGGCTACAACGTGAGGTCCTAACCACTAGACGATAGCGACTCAAAGAAGCATGAGCCGTTGTCGGTCGAAGTAGATCACCTATCACTAAACCTCTTCAAGAAGCGTACGATTTGATACATATCAAAGTCATTACCCGGATTTGAACCGGGGTTGTCACGGCCGCAATGTGACGTCCTAACCACTAGACGATAGCGACTCAAAGAAATATGAGCCGCTGTCGGTCGACGTGGATCACCTATCACTAAACCTCTTCAAGAAGCGTACAACTCGATACATATCAAAGTCACTACCCGTATTTGAACCGGGGTTGTCACGGCCACAACGTGACGTCCTAACCACTAGACGATAGCGACTCAAAGAAAGATGAGCTGCTGTCCGTCGACGTGGATCACCTATAACTAAACCTCTTCAAGAAGCGTACAATTTGATACATGTCAAAGTCACCACCCGAATTTGAACCGGGGTTGTCACGGCCACAATGTGACGTCTTAACCACTAGACGATAGCGACTCGAAGAAGTATGAGCCGCTGTCGGTCGACGTGGATCACCTATCACTAAACCTCTTCAAGAAGCGTACAACTCGATACATATCAAAGTCACTACCCGGATTTGAACCGGGGTTGTCACGGCCACAACGTGACGTCCTAACCACTAGACGATAGCGACTCAAATAAGCATCAGCCGTTGTCGGTCGACGTGGATCACCTATCACTAAACCTTTTCAAGAAGCGTACGATTTGATACATATCAAAGTCACTACCCGGATTTGAACCGAGGTTGTCACGACCACAACGTGACGTCCTAACCACTACACGATAGCGACTCGAAGAAGAATGAGCCGCTGTCGGTCGATGTGGATCACCTATCACTAAACCCCTTCGAGAAGTGTACAACTCGATGCATATCAAAGTCACTACCCGGATTTGAACCGAGGTTGTCACGACCACAACGTGACGTCCTAACCACTACACGATAGCGACTCGAAGAAGAATGAGCCGCTGTCGGTCGATGTGGATCACCTATCACTAAACCCCTTCGAGAAGTGTACAACTCGATGCATATCAAAGTCACTACCCGGATTTGAACCGGGGTTGTCGCGACCTCAACGTTACGTCCTAACCACTAGACGATAGCGACTCAAAGAAATATGAGCTGCTGTCCGTCGACGTGGATCACCTATAACTAAACCTCTTCAAGAAGCGTACAATTTGATACATGTCAAAGTCACTACCCGGATTTGAACTGGGGTTGTCAAGGCCACAACGTGACGTCCTAACCACTAGACGATAACGACTCAAACAAGCATGAGCCGCTGTCGGCCGACGTGGATCACCTATCACTAAGCCTCTTCAAGAAGCGTACGATTTGATACATATCAAAGTCACTACCCGGATTTGAACCGGAGATGTCACGGCCACAACGTGATGTCCTAACCACTAGACGATAGCGACCCAAAAATGTGAGCCGTTGTCGGTCCACATGGATCACCTATCGCCAAATCTCTTCAAGAAGCGTACAATTTGATACACGTCAAAGTCACTACCCGGATTTGAACCGGGGTTGTCACGGCCACAACGTGACGTCCTAACCACTAGACGATAGCGACTCAAGAAGCGTACGATTTGATACATATCAAAGTCACTACCCGGATTTGAATCGGAGATGTCACGGCCACAACGTGACGTCCTAACCACTAGACGATAGCGACTCAAAGAAATATGAGCCGCTGTCGGTCGACGTGGATCACCTATCACTAAACCCCTTCGAGAAGCGTACAACTCAATGCATATCAAAGTCTCTACCCGGATTTGAACCGGGGTTGTCACGGCCACAACGTGACGTCCTAACCACTAGACGATAGCGACCCAAAAATGTGAGCCGTTGTCGGTCCACATGGATCACCTATCGCCAAATCTCTTCAAGAAGCGTACAATTTGATACATATCAAAGTCACTACCCGGATTTGAACCGGGGTTGTCACGGCCACAACGTGACGTCCTAACCACTAGACGATAGCGACTCAAAAATGTGGGCCGTTGTCGGTCCACATGGATCACCTATCGCTAAACCTCTTCAAGAAGCGTACAATTTGATACATGTCAAAGTCACTACCCGGATTTGAACCGGGGTTGTCACGGCCACGACGTAACGTCCTAACCACCAGACGATAGCGACTCAAACAAGCATAAGCTGCTGTCCGTCGACGTGGATCACCTATAACTAAACCTCTTCAAGAAGCGTACAATTTGATACATGTCAAAGTCACTACCCGGATTTGAACCGGGGTTGTCACGGCCACAACGTGACGTCCTAACCACTAGACGATAGCGACTCAAACAAGTATGAGCCGTTGTCGGTCGACGTGGATCACCTATCACTAAGCCTCTTCAAGAAGCGTACGATTTGATACATATCAAAGTCACTAGCCGGATTTGAACCGGGGATGTCACGGCCACAACGTGACGTCCTAACCACTAGACGATAGCGACTCAAAGAAATATGAGTCGCTGTCGGTCGACGTGGATCACCTATCACTAAACCCCTTCGAGAAGCGTACAACTCGATGCATATCAAAGTCTCTACCCGAATTTGAACCGGGGTTGTCACGGCTGCAACGTGAGGTCCTAACCACTAGACGATAGCGACTCAAATAAGCATGAGCCGTTGTCGGTCGACGTAGATCACCTATCACTAAACCTCTTCAAGAAGCGTACGATTTGATACATATCAAAGTCATTACCCGGATTCGAACCGGGGTTGTCACGGCAACAATGTGACGTCTTAACCACTAGACGATAGCGACTCAAAGAAATATGAGCTGCTGTCCGTCGACGTGGATCACCTATAACTAAACCTCTTTAAGAAGCGTACAATTTGATACATGTCAAAGTCACTACCCGGATTTGAACCGGGGTTGTCACGGCCACAACGTGACGTCCTAACCACTAGACGATAGCGACTCAAAGAAATATGAGCCGCTGTCGGTCGACGTGGATCACCTATCACTAAACCCCTTCGAGAAGCGTACAACTCGATGCATATCAAAGTCTCTACCCGAATTTGAACCGGGGTGGTCACGGCTACAACGTGAGGTCCTAACCACTAGACGATAG